CTGATTGTGAAATCGAGGAAAGAGATACCATTTCTGTCATTTAAACTCATCAATAGCAACATACTGTTGAGTCTAATTTGTTTATTTTTTATGTTTCATTTATTCATTGTGTTGATTTGGAATCCTAATGGTCATTGGTTTTAGAGAGAAAAAAATCCAAACCAGTTACTGTAGAATATGTTTAAAAGGAGATGAGGGTAAAACAATCAATCGACAAAATATCCAAGACTTTAGAGATAATAAACTAGATTTAGAGCCTATGTCGCACACCTAGGTCTATGTGCATATTCTAGACTAGAACAGAATTCATGACAAAAATCTCTGTTTTGTTGATCTTGTTGATATTTTTTTTCTGTTTAGTTTCCCTCTATCGTCTTTAGCTTTTGCCCAAAACACAAAAGTTGGTAAAAATTTGGGGGCAATCACTCCTATAAAAGGTATAACGGCAAAATTTGACTTGAAAGAAGATCGTGGCTTGCAGAACATTTTTGTTATTTAAAGTTTGTATCAATCTTTTAAAGTTTACAAGATAATTAGCAAAAACGCCAAAAAATGGTAAATATCGTCATTATTAAAGAGCAAGAAGTCCAATGTCAAGTTGACTAATGATTTCGACCATGTTGACATATTTATAGATCTTGTCTTGCTGATCATTTGTGCATATATTCATCTATTATGGTTTTCAAGATAACAGGCAAAACACTAAAAATTGGTAAAAATCGTCATTAAAGAGCAGTAACCCTAATAAGAAGTCGTCTGACTATTTCGTCCATTTAAATTATTTGTAGATATTGTTTTGCTGATCGTTTTTGCTATCTAAAGTTTCTATTATAGTTTTCAAGATGATAATTATAAAAGAAAAAAAGGTAAAATTCATCATTTAAGGACAATAATTCCGATCTGACAGTTTGCAAACTACATATCGTATCTCAACAGATATTGAATTGCTTTAAACAAAAGGAAACTGAGTAAAATTCACAGAAGATTCAGACGTTGTCAGAAAATGAACAAATATACAATATGATACCGTTTGGTTTAAAAGTAAATTTCGTTACTTTTATCTTCATTAACAAGCCATTTTAGAAAGAATTACAAGGCTCATGTGCTTTTAACCAGTTCTTTTAATTTATTTCAATTCAAATATTTTTCTCTCCAAAATTCATGTATCTCATGTTTATGTGGTAATTATGTCACTCATAGTGGCTATGAACACTCCACCCACGCCTAGCCTCCGATCTTTCCTGTACGGTCTGGTTACTGTAGTTTTTAGGAAACACCTCACTACTAGCAATTTGTGATCCAAGATGATGTGATTCACATTCTTAGGATTTTAGTTGGGTTGTGTGTTTCTATAAGATTTTGGAGTTCTATATGTTTGGTGTTGCTTATTAAGCTTGTGCAGTTTATGTTCATAATTCGTAAGCTGCGTTTGCGTTGCTTGATTTGTATTCGAATTGTCGTTTGTAGATGCAATATAATCGTTTGGTTTATCAGATATTCCGAGGTAAATTGAGATATCTACTCTTTTCTATAAGTAAGTTATGATTGCTGGTTCTAACAGTATGATCTTGTATGCCCCCTCTCCAAAAGGACGGATGGTAAACTGGTTAACGTCAGTCCATCCGTCCATCCGATAAAATGTGTGTCATATTCATATCAGAGCTCTCTGAAATTTGGTAGTCATTCCATTCTCAATTTTATTGAAGCTTCATGTGAGCATGCTATATTGTGTGATGCGTTTTCAAATTCATCACTTGTCAACTTCCTGCTTAGGGAACTACCATTTGATTTTTAGGGGGGAGACTAGGAGGAAAAATGTTGTCCTGCATTTTTTTTTAGTTATAATCTCTGTCCTGCATTTTTATTTTTCACTGTATTCGGTCCTGCCTTTTTTTATTAGTTTATCCTGACTTTATTTTACATAAATTGTCATCCTGCCTTTTTTTTTGCCAAGTTGCTGATCCTGTCTTTTTTTTTTTACTCAAAACTCCTGTTCTGCCTTTTTTCAAATTTCATCCTAGCCCTCCAATAAAAATCAAATGGTATCTCCCTTATGTATGCATAGCAGGAGACGCTTATCCTGTCGATGCACCCAGTCTCGCATTTTTTTGGAGTTCTTGCAATTCGTTCAGTTTTGCTTATAGCTTGATTTGCCCCAATCGATTTATGAGATTTGTACATCGATTAACTACTGTTGCCTTATAATTTATCGAAAACTAACCAGCATGACAGCATCCTGAAATTTTGGTTCAAACTGCTATACCGTGTGATGTATTTTCAGATTCATCACTCAATAATTTCTTGTTTATAGAATACTTATTTATTCTTACACATTATTGCAATGTATGTATCTTGACTTCTTTCATATTTTCGGACAGCAAAATATTTTTTGGTATATCAATATTCATTTCTTGTGTAATATCTAGATTAAAGTGGACAGTGTATAAATTCCTTGTGAAATAAGGTGTTTACATGTATAACTTTCTTCAAGTAATGATTTTATGTTTTCAGTATCTAATCTAGCCAATTAAACGATGGCTTGCGTTTTTATATATTTTTCTATTGGCTGCCTACCAAGTTCAGCTTTAACCTCTAAATTAGACGATGTATTTTTGGTACCTAGAATATATTTACTGAAACCAACATGAACCTTTCAAGTTTAAAATGAGTCATGTTGGAGTTCGAAATTATTTATAATATCTTTATTTTAGGATTTTAACCTACTGTTTTGCTTTATAATAAGAAGGATATCGTAAACATGTATGATATTTCTGCATTATATGTCAGTGTTAGCTTAATGAGGGAATCAAAGAGATTACAGGAAAATTGCCCCCAAAACTGCCACATGTGACTTTTAATATTTCAGTAAAGAAGAGCTTAATTGCTTAGCTTTTTTGGCTAAATCTCTTAATCCCTCACAACTAAATAAATTAACTATTTTTCACACTTTTTACCTTCAAATTTTAATTAATTAAAGTTTTGTCCGCTTACATGGCATTTTTGTAGTGAATTCAATGAAGATAAGGTAGTCAAATATTCCAGAGAGAGCTCTGCGATTTGTATACACGATTATTTTTATGCCTCACCTACGATAGTAGTAGGGGCATTATGTTTTCTGGTCTGTGCGTCCGTTCGTTCGTCCGTCCGTTCGTCCGTCTGTCCCGCTTCAGGTTAAAGTTTTTGGTCAAGGTAGTTTTTGATGAAATTAAAGTCCAATCAACTTGAAACTTAGTACACAAAAAGTCATGTTTCCTATGATATGATCTTTCTAATTTTAATGCCAAATTAGAGTTTTGACCCCAATTTCACGGTCCACTGAACATAGAAAATGATAGTGCGAGTGGGGCATCCGTGTACTATGGACACATTCTTGTTCAAAATATAATACATTGTTGGGTGTAACTCAGATGCCATTCCTTGAAATTATACGCATAAAGAACGATGACGTTTGAGTCTTTTCAATTCATAAACGGCCTAGCTCCTTCAAGTCGAAATGATCTTGTCACTATTAAACCAAACAGCAAGTAAATTTTTACTGAGATAAGTAAATTTATTGGAAATCCTATTAATCAAAACAACTAATAATTCATGCGCTCACTCCAAAAAATGTGCCAGAATAGTCAACCAGTTGACGGTGGCCGCTTACCGGAAGAAGAAGAACTACTTTTGGAGAGAAAAAATATCTGTTCGATATGCTGCACCCTGTCAAGGGCGGATCCAGGATTTTTGAAAGGTGCGTAATTCCATAAAAGTGAAAAAATCAAGAAAACTTGAATCATCGAAAGAAAATTTCGGACGATTTCAGTATGCTAAAAAATTATATATTTTCCAATCAAAGTGAGGCGTATGCCCTATCCCCCCTGAAGCCGCTACTGCATATTATGTTTTACAATCCAGACTTTGAAATAAAATTTATCTTTAAAAGGGGCATTAGCTGTCAAATTCATGTTCACCGATTTGACTCAAATTCTCATATTTGATTTATAACATACTAAAACATATATCCAAATGATAAAAAGTCTAAAATAAACAACTTGATTTACAATGCATGGGCTCGATAATATGTATCAACATTTCGTGTGTATTTTAGTCTAGACGACATCTAAATTACTATCGAGGTGACCTCCGAAGACTGCCGACGGTCATATAACCCGATATAAACATAAATATAGATATAAATAGATAGCGAACTCGTGCAATTGGATTTTTCTAGGTCAGTTTGATTTCATATTATAAGGTAAATATATATTAATCATCGTTTTTACCTGTAAAAGAATGATTTTTTTGTGGATCGAATCAGTCAATCAAATGGTTTACCCTTGTTTCACTTTCAATGTTGTCTTGACATTCTTTTCCTTTTAATAACTGAGCTCGCCTAATTCATGCGTAACCCATCTCCAGCTAAGGGGTTAAATTGAAGGTCACATGAATACGGATTCAATGAGGTCGAATTATTCACTCGCAAGTGATTAATTCATCATCGATTTTTATTAGCTTATTTTGACCAAATTGAACCAAACTGGCTGTTAAAAGCGAATCATATTTTAATATTTTTTACAGCTCGTAGCTAATGCCCCTTTAAAAATATCTTGTTGTTTCGTTTCATAATGTTTTACAGTATTCCGAAATATTGTATGACATTTGATTACGTATTCAAAAATTTGATCACGTGAACAAGAGGAAGACTTGTCTTTGTCTGCCATTTCCGTTTGAGTGAAATTTCCGGTCAAAAACTTTGGGTAAAACAACTTTTGACTTCCTTAAAATGTTTTATAAAGTAAATTCTGAAGTCCAGTCATCAACTCTATCTCAACATTTATAATATTTTGTTTTAGGATTACAGTTTTACAGCGTGTCAAAGAAAAGGTAACTGTAAAAGCAATGCTTGACCAAACAGGATGTTGAGCGTGGTCTGGCTTTCCGGAAGTTTTGATTAAATTAATGGTTTGCGCTGTAGCAGACAATCATTTCCTCTTCCGATTTGAATTTTAAAAAGTTTATGAATTTATCTGAGAACGACTGCGTTTCCAAAGATTTAAAATCATGTTGTTCAAGATGTCCGCCATGTTTAACATCAAACGGCGTAGGTTTCGAAAGGGCACATGTGCAACATCTAAAAATGTTGGATTGACTCTTGATATACAGTTTTATTCAAATACGACCTGATGTTATTCTTGATTTATGAAGATCCTGAAGTTGATACAGGTGAAATTTATGGTGCAATCTGTTAATTATATAGATTTTAATTTTATGAAGGAACTGCCTAGGTGTAACTCTAAGAAACAGGAAATTTAAGCATTGAACCATTGTATTATAATATTAATTGGATCATCTTCACTTTTGAAACAGTTCCATAAGGTGTCGACATTCTATTTCATGAATGTTCGTTGTTAATAAAATGCTACCATAACAGCATTCTTATCAAGATTTTAAAACGCTTCGACTACTGAACTATGAAAAATTATAGTTGCCTAAATAGGCGACGGAAACAAATAATTTCCGGAAATATGGAATTTTAAATTTTTTCCTGAATTGGGAATTTATGTTTGTATAAATTTTTTTGGAGCCGCCATCCGATTTTAGGGCCGCTAAGCAGCCCTAGATTATAAAGTCTGATAGTAGAAGCATCCTTGTAGATATACATTGTTGTATTTTTACTTGCATGAAAATGTACAAATGTATCTGCCATTAGTTAAACATGTTGAAGTCGCACAAGTTCCCACAAAATTTTGCATTACAATATAAAATGTTTGCAGGCTTCCAGAAATTTATCAAAGAAATCAGACATTTGTTCTAACAGAAGACAATGCTTCATCAGACTTGCCAAAAACCACAGACTACAAAAATTTTGAAGAAAATCTGTTATTGGGAAAATCCAGCAAATTACGGGTTTTCCCTGAAACTAGTAGTGATTTAAGTTACGTATCCGGTATTAACATGATTAACAAAATGATAAAGGGCATGTTTAGTAAAATATACTCAAAGTCGATAAGTTTTGAAAAATTTCACAGTGTTCTATATAATAAATCTTGAATTGATTAAAAAAAAGTAAGCAGTGATATTGTTGTTTTTTTTTCAAAACTACCTCTACCGTATTTTATTGGGAAAAATGCATATTTTTTATTGAAATTTGTATATTTTATTCTAAACACATTTCCGATTTTTTGCCGACCTTTGCAGTCTTTTTTGCACTGTTTTTTCATGTATATTTTGGTTGTCAGACATTTTCAACCTGAAAGGTACTTTTCTAAGAGGGGAAAGAAACAGAAGCAATGATGGTACTTAATGCATTGAAAACCACATGTGTTACAAACACCATGATGATTCTGATCAGAAAACCGGATCTCAAAAGTGCTTTCTAATATCAAAATAATAACATGAATACGATATTTACAATCATTACTACCAATATAATGCCATCACTGTTTGGGGAAAATGTAAAACTTTTTGGGAGGAATTTTAAGCCATATTTATTAGTAATTGGGAATTTTCTCTAGGGGAAAAAGCCGAATTTCGGCTGTAATTTGAGGCAAACAATATCACTGGTAAGCATGTACAATATTTAAGATGTAAATGCAATAATGGGATAAGAAAAACCATATCTAAACATTTAAATTTTAATATGATATTGGTAGCAAAATTTTGAATCATACATTTTTTGTTAACTGGACATAAGAACTGGCAAGTTGCCAATATTTTTCTACCCAACAGAATAATAGCCTCACCAGTCTGAAGTTCCAGCAAAATTTTGAGAAGCCTGTGTTAATGTCAAAATTAGTTATTGTTGCAGTAAGTTTATTTGGAGCTCGGTGTAGATCTAGAGTAATTTGAAGCTATTATACCCAAAAGTGCAAATATGTTTATTGTCACATTTGAAACAAAATGTCATCATACATTTTGTACATATGTAGTTTATCTTACTGCTCATGCTGTTAAATTCCAGTTTACTTAGGTTTAACTTTCAAAACCACCAAGAGGAGATCTCCCCCAATAAAAGCACCCAATAAAGCATGCAAAGGGAGTGAAACCTTGTGTGTTGACTGAGAAAGATTCTTGTAATACACATGACATGCATGTTTCACCATTTATTAATTCATGGCAGCTGTTTAAATGCCTCAGAACAGCTTTGTGGTGTATTCTTGTTCTGTGTTGTTAAATGTAATTAAAAAAACATGAAAGACATTTTTGTTTAAAACGTTCTTTCTTAGTGAACTCTCCTGTTTTCAATTCCTTTGTAGTCATTGCAAGTTCATTTTTTATTCCTACTTTTGTTCAAATGTTGTTAGTACCTACATCATGTACATTTTGTAAACTTGTTAATTTTAATTGAAATCAGTGAGTACCATATATAAAATATGGAGATGTGGCATGATTGTCAATGAGACAACTATCTACATGTAACAGAGTCCAAATGACGTGGATTTAATCAACTTAATGTATAGGTCACCACAAGGCCTATATGTACAACAATGACATGAATGACCCATGCAGTATAATATATTCAATACTGAGTGTACCATATTGACATTGAAATATGGACAGAGTCTTAGAGAGAACCATATCTGGTTGCAGAAAAAAAGGGCTCCCAAATAAACTGCCATGACCGTGTTAAAAGAATGCTTTTGAATCAAACAAAATAACCATTGGGAGCAGGGAAGATACTGATATATTTTATATTGGAATCCAATGGGAACTCTTAGTTTATCATGTTTATGGTTCATATTAATTTTTTAGAAGTCAATAAGAGATTACAATATATATATATAGTTCTTTTTTTTAATTTTAGGAGTTAGTTTACGATGGAAGAGAATGGAGATGGAGAAAATGGCAATAATACTATTACTGTCACCATGACAGATGATGGTTATATATCAATGTGTAAGTTAATTACCATGTTGCAGTACAACAAAAAAAACTTCTATGAGTGTCCCCTTGGTATCTCCCGCCTATTTTTATACGCCCGTTTACAGGACGTACAATGTATTATGGTATAGCATTGTCCGTCTGTCCGTCTGTCGTCAACATGTCGGACATTAACTCAAAAACGCTTTAACCAATTTGCATAAAACTTTGGTGAATTGTTTATATCTATTGACGTGAGCTCCCTTTCGCTTTTTATAAATTTTAGATTTTACGTTTCCGAGTTACAATGTATCAATGGTTATGGGATTTTATTCATTAAAAAAAGTGGGATTTTCCAGTTTTCAGACAATAACTCAAGAATGCTTTCACCAACTTGCAAAAAATTGAGGTGAATTGTTTATATCTATTGACATGAGCTCCCTTTCAATTTTTATAAATTTTAGATTTTACATTTCCGAGTTGCAGGGTTTTGTTCATAAAAAAAGGGGGATTTTCCAGTTTTCAGACAAAAACTCAAAAATGCTTTCAGCAGTTCTTGTGAAACTTTGGTGAATTGTTTATATCTATTGATGTAAGCTCCCTTTAGAATTTTATAAAATTTTACATTTTACATTTCTGAGTTATGGGGTTTTATTCATTATAAAAGGGGGGATTTTCCAGTTTTCGGACAATAACTCAAAAATACTGTCAGCAATTCTCCTGAAACTTTGGTGAATTGTTTATATCTGTTGATGTAAGCTGCCTTTTGATTTTCATAAATTTCTAATATGACATTGAGAAATAATTGAACTTTATTTGTTTATAGTCTGAGAACAGATTTACCAAGTATTGCGCAACAGCACAGTGTATTGCACAACAGCAAGAAATCTTTAATTGAATATAAATTCAATTCATATAACCAATTTCAAGTTCTTTGACTACAATTATTCAGAAACCTATAATTTGTCAAATATTTAGTTACAATCCAAATTCAGACCTGTATCAAGCTTGAATATTGTGTCCATTTTTGCCCCAACTGTTCAGGGTTGGACCTCTGCAGGCGTATCCAGCTGCGCTCCGCAAAGCAGTTTATTTTTAGCTCACCTTGCCCTGAGCTTTTGCTATCATTTGGTGTCCATTGTCCACGACTGGTACACGTTTACAATAATCTTTCCTCTAAAACCACTGTACCAATTTCAACCAAACTTTAACTGAACGGTCCTTAGGGTATATATAGTATGAAGTTTGTTTTTTTGTTCAGCCCTCCCCCCCCCCCCCCCCCCCCCAATAAACCAACATGGCCATCATGGCTTATGATAGAACATAAGGGTAAAATGCATTTATATTGTGTAATTGTGTAATATCTTGAAAACAAGAAAAATGCTCAGAAATGCAAGATCTTTGTATACCTCCATTGTATTCACTACAATTATAAGTTGACCACTTACAGGAGTAATTGCCCTTTAATGACCCTCTTTGACTATTTTTCGAGTTTGCCTATTATCTTTGAAAAATCTATAATAGTCTAGATAAGTATTAACCTTGTGTTAACTGTAAACAGCAAAAATGATCAGGAATACAAGATCTGCAAAAATGATCAGAAATACAAGATCTGCAAAAATGATCAGGAATACAAGATCTGCAAACATGCTCCTATCACTGAAACCACTTGTGATTCTAAAAATATGCATGTGATATTTGCACTTTTACACGAATGAGTCACATATACTATTCATGATTTAAAAGGATCTGTTAAAACACACTTGTTGCTAATTAAAGCTAAGGAGAATTTACAAATTGAGCTTCTAACAAAGTTTTAAATAAATATAATCTAAAACCTTCCAACAACATATACATCGGTTTTATACAATGACCTTTTTCAGCAATGAAAAGACCACATGAAGATGATGAGAATGCAATTGAAGAAGAACCTGTCACCAAACAGCTACACTTAGACGAAAATGATGGAAATATTGTTGAAGTTCAGGTTGGGCAAGAAGAATTACAACTGGAAGAAACAATACATCAAGAGGAACAGCCACAGGCAGAAATTATTACAACTGATGGGTAAACTTCTTGTTTTACATGTAATTCTGTTACAGTTGTGAAAGATACCAGCATTAACATTTAAATTGTGAGCAACTTACATCATGTAGGTTGCCTTCTGCTGAGCCTTCTCAAGTAACTACTGTTTGTCAGATGCTGGTATTAAAGGAACAAGATATATACATAAAAATCTACCTTGTACTTTTTTATGCCCCCGCCATAGCGGTGGGGGCATTAAGTTTTACCCTTGTCCGTCTGTACGTCCCAAAATTGGTATCCGTTCTCTAACTTGAGTTTGCCTCAACCAAATGTTATGAACTTATACACAATGCTTATTTCCACAAAACACAGATCAAGTTTGAATTTTGGTGGCGTCACTTTAAACGTTCTAGAGTTATACCCCTTTACAAATGGAAAAATTGCTGAATTTTTATTTTCCGTTCTCTAACTTAAGTTTGCCTTAACCAAATGTTATGAAACTTATACACAATGCTTATTACCACAAAACACAGATCAAGTTTGAATTTTGGTGCTGTCACTTTAACCGTTCGAGAGTTATGCTCCTTTATAAATTGAAAAATTGCAAAATTTTTATTTTCTTCTAAATATCAAGTAATTTTTAAAATTGGAGTTATCTTCCTTTGTCCATGATTATTGTTGAATCAACTACCATAAATGCTTTATACAATGCAATGTTTAATTTTGACTTCCACTGATAAAACACAGATCAAGTTGAATTTGGGTAGTGTCACTTTAATAACCATTTTTGAGTTATGCCCCTTTATAAATCTAAAGATTGCAAATTTTTAGGTTCCATTCTGTAACTTAAGTTTGCCCCAACCAAACATTATGAAACCTATACACAATATTCATTACCACAAAACTAAGATCAAGTACAAATTTTTTGTTTCTGTCTTCTAACTTTAGTTTGCCTCAACCAAATGTTATGAAACTTATACACAATGCTTATTACTACATAATACAGATTAAGTACGAAATTTGGTGGTGACACTTTTACCATTCTTGAGTTATGTCCATTTATAAACATAAAAATTGCTGAATTTTTCGTTTCCGTTCTCTAACTTTAGTTTGTCTCAACCAAATGTTATAAAACTTATACACAACCATTCTAGAGTTATGTGTGTTTACATATAGAAAAATTGCTGAATTTTCAGTTTCTGTTCTCTACTTAAGTTAGCCTCAACCGAATGTTATGAGACTTACACACAATGCTTATTACCACAAAACTCGGATCAAGTTCAAATTTGGGTAGCGTCACTTTTACTGTTCTTCAGTTATGTAGATATAAGAAGATGTGGTATGAGTGCCAACAGGGCTCGACAATAACGCTTGTCCAATTGTTCGGTACCAGAGGAAAAAAGGGTCGGACAAGTAAAAGTCATATCAAGTTTGTCCGATGGGACAAGTAAAAATCCTTCTGTTTGAAAATAAATTAAATCCAACTTTGATGATCAACATTGATCAAAGTAATAAAAAAAAAACAAGAAAAGAAGATATTTGTTTGACATGTTTACTTGCGACCGATAATTTAAAACTGGTTCTTTGTCAGATACTTTATAACAGATAAAACGCATACTATTCTCGGAAACCCGTCTTACCGAATGTGGCTTTGTAGATAAGGTAACAAGACAGTTGGGCACCGTCACGGAAACGAATCGGCTCCATGTTTAATAGACAGTTCGGCACGGTTGGAGACATTTCGGGACCAAGACAAACCAGTACCTCGTTTTCCTACTTATTCTGTTGCTTTATAATAAATATATGATAAATTTTTTGATCATAAAATTTATAAAATCATATTTGATCATATTTAGACAAAACAATATTTGATTGTGTTTGAATAAACATTTTAATATATTAAAAACAAAACTGATTGTAGTAAGGCATTAATCATAATAATCAATATTTTATCAACCCAAAAGACCAGGATACAAACCAAATGAGTGTAGACTGACAGGCCTAACAGACTGTGCCTGATGTGCAGAGTCTGATGAGACTTTGGCATTGATGAAAAATAGAACTGAAGTCCTGTGACTAGACTTGACTAGATTCAGTTTTTCTGGATTCATATTTTTGAAAAAGGATATCAAGAGATATAAATCAAATTCTGTTCTATTGTTTTAATTCATTTTGTTCATTGAATCAACCTAAAATGCAAAAAAAGGTTAATATAAAGGTTTATTTTTGGACAAGTTATAATTCCATTCGGACAAGTAAGTTTTGGTATGTACTTGTCCTATTGGGCAAGTTGGAAAAAAAGTTATTGTAGAGGCCTGGCCAATGAGACAACTCTCCATCCAAGTCAAAATTTATAAAAGTAAACCATTAAAGGTCACAGTACGGTCTTCAACACGGAGCCTTGGCTCACACTGAACAGTAAGCTATAAAGGGCCCCAAAAATTACTAGTGTAAAACCATTCAAACGGGATATCATATAGTTATAAAGGGTCATATATAATTAGAATCTATTTATGTAATTATCCTAGCAAGCCTAAATCAGAACCATCCTGCACTGCACCACTTACCACATATCAAACATTTGTACTAGTTATGTCCCTTTATAACTATATGATATGCAAGAGGGGGCATCATCTGTGTCCACATGTGGACACTATCCACATTTATTTTTTTTCTTTTTCACTTGAACAGTTAGGGTAAGAACTGAACAAATGCTCAGATTTAATGCAGTTACTGGTTTGTGGGCTTTTCTAGATCTAGACATGAACTCTCAAAGACATTTTTGCTACATGATAGAAAAGTTTCTTTTAGTTTGGCCTCATGAACTTACAATTATTAATCAAAGATCAATTGGTGGCAATATGATATTTTCATAAGAGAATGCAATTTAGTACAAATGTTTGATATGTGGTAAGTGGTGCAGTGCAGGATGGTTCTGAATTATGCTTACTAGGATAATTACATAAATAGATTCTAATTATATATGACACTGCATTGAGTGTGATACGATATCTCTCCTCTCAAACAGTAGAATTTTCAAATAAAAAAGGTCATAAGGTGAAGCTTGGGTACAAATGTAAGCATTTTAAATATTAGCTTCAGCGATCTGCAAAAACATGTGTACTTTCTAAAAGAAAAAAACAATCAACTGGCAGAAGAAAGTATAAATCGGCTAAGAATTAGAGAAATATGCGTATATCATATATCTTTATCAGAATTGTGACTTTTCAGAGTTGTTTATGAAGAAGAGGTTATACAACATCAAGGAACAGCTCCACAATACCAGAACCTGATTATACAACATATGGACATCGCTGAACCTCTTGCTACTCTCAAAACTCTCCTTGAAATGAGATTACAGTGTTCGCTTTCTGACCATCAATTCTATCTCCAAGATGCCATACAGGTAAGGAGTGGTGTTTCTACTGAGAATTAAACGTTAAACAGTAAATACCAGTATGTGAAGTAATAGAAAAATTTCATTGGGTTGCAGGGCAAATAAACAAAAAATTGCCAATGATAAATTTGTGTCATGCAAGTGTATACATGCATTACTCTGCACAATAGAAAGTCAGGAATGAAGAGATTTTCAACTAAATCACATTAAAGTATTCAGTTATACTGGAATAACCCAATAGTTTATATGCTTAAAGTGTCATTGTTTTCTTTAAAGGTATAAAGGTTCAAATAGTTAACTCATACATGATTCTTAATTTTCAGCTTGATACAACCAAAAGTTTAGTAGACCAGTGTGTACAAGGAGAAGGCATGGTACAAATTAATTTAGAAATTAAATCACAGCCAGGTAAGGTCTACATTATGTTGTTAAACTGTTGATAAGAAATCATATAAAACAAGACCATTGATTTCCAGTTTAGTTTTTGTTCTAACAGGCTATTTGATTATGCATTTCTTACCAGTAGAAGAAAAAAATGATATGTAATTGCATTGTTATTAGTCTAGAATGGACCACCTACAGAATTTAATATTAGGTGAAGACCGGCAACCAATGGAATAAAATAGAATATTGATAACCAACCACTCATAGATTATTTTATAAAGGCCATAGATTTTTCTACCTACCAAAGATACAGATGGAGATTAAGGTGATTGCTTTACGCTGCATCAGCACAAAAGGCTATATCTAGGCGATGGAGATTAAGGCATAAAATGCAGAAGTGTTTGTCAGATTATTAGCTTGACATATAAAATTATCTAGTTTTTTACATGCACACCAATGCAATATATAAGGTTGCTGTGATCCACATGTTAGTAAAGGAAATAACTTTTTGTTGACTATGATTTTCTAGTTGATGGTTTTGACCATGATTATTTCTACCAACAAATTGATTATTGTTTCAATATTTTAATTATCTAAATAAATTTGTAATTGTAATGACAATTACAGAGAGCATTAAGAATGTTACTGTAAGTTCTTTTGATCAAATGTGCCTCACTTTTTCTAGTTTTCTTTACAGATGAAAATTTTTGGAGGATTATATGATCCCTCAAAATTAGGAGGGGATTATGCCATGCTTCATTTATAGAATAAATAATAATCAAAAGTAATTTGACTTTGCAGGTGTAAAACCCAAAATAAACATTGTTGACATACTGAAACCAGCTGATGAAGTAGAGCCACAGATTGTAGAAGGTAAGGATTGTTGTATAAATACAGGGTTACACATAAGTCTTTTTATGAAGCTGTGAATACAAAATACTAATAGATGAGAATATAAATAAATGGAGATGTGTGGTATATGTTAATTATATATAATGAGAGAGCAATCCAATAGTAAATTGACCAAAAGACATCTAAATAATAAAGAGGCAACATGCAGTGTTCAACTATAGGCAGATGTCAATACAATTGTCCCATATTTATAAAATTTGTGAAAAATGTAACACAATCAAAGATCTGCCATTAAACCTTATTATCCAAATAAGAAAAAACATTTAAAAAAAAAGAGATGAGATATGAGGGTCCATTTATTTAAAAAAAGAATGCTCTTACATTAAAATGTTTAGTTTTTCAACAAAAATCAGTGAGGTTTGACTAATTTAAAACAGCTGTTCAATTACATTGAATGTTTGCATTGTGGGAACATTTTTAGTCTATTTAATTATGAAATTTTGAAATCATGACAGTATTTCTGCATCAATGTTGTTGGTTTTCTTTTAATGATAAAAAGTATTTTTAAAATTATTTCTTAAACAGTTTGATATTTACAATGATTTATGAAAAAATACAGACCCATATGTAAAAAAAAGATATAATGTTTTAAGAAAAATATTAAAACTTACCAGATTATTACATAGAAATTGGAAGTTTCAAGTAGAATGCTCAGTGTTTTCCATTCGGCATTTAAGCCGGGTGTGCCGACCACCTTCTTTTCAAAGCCGACCACCTTTCCATTTTAGGAGGTGGTCAGCTTTTTTTTCAAATTCCGGATTTATTTTGGTTCCGCACAGTAAAAAATTAAATACTAATCGCGCCTCGCTGATTGTTTTCATTGACAAAAATGGCGGATAGTCAAATTTCAATGTTTTCTTTTATTGATCGGGGGGAGAGAAAGGCAGATAACGATGGTGGTAAGGAAAATTCTAGGCCAAATAAGTCAACTAAAACGGATAGTTGTATTGAAATTGTTGAAATGGAAACAAAAAAGGTATCAAATCAACGTAAAAGGCACACAAGTGATCGCGAAGATAAACAGGTTGGGAACAATCCCCCAAATGAGGGATATCCCTTAAATGAGGGACTGTCTCTCTGGCAAGAGGTTATGTTAATTCTGTTGAAAAAAAGAAAAGAGAAAAACTTAGATTTTTTAACTTAAAAGGGGGAAAATCGTTGTATTCGGACCAACTTTTCTAAAAGAAGGTCCCATTATTTTTAATGATAAAGAAGATATAAGTCCAGGAATATTACAAAATTCTTGGACATGGTTTGACCATATAATACCAAATAGATGTATAGTTCTTTGGGAAAATTTTCTGTTAATAAAATAAATATGTGCTCATTTGTATCTTGTTAAATGTACCCCTCATAAAAGAGATAGTCATTACATTGAGAGGTTACCCCTCATTTGATAAATATGAACAGAACTTTAAATGGTTAATCATCACAGAAGGAGGATATTACTGCTCTGTGTTCCAAAAATACAGCACTAAAGCGAGGAACAGGACAGAAACTTGGATCTATAAGCTATGCATATGCCATGTATGCAGGTGGAGGGAGTCCTACAAAAGCCATATCTGCTATCCGAGATCCACAAAACTAATTTGTCAAATAAATGGCTAGCAGTGATAGCAGAAGAACAGTTCAATTTTATTAAATGTGAATACCATACTAGTCCTTCATTTTGTGACCCCCTCCAACAGTAAAAAAAACCGGTTTGGAAATGTTAAAACAAAAAAAAACACCCGGTTGCAAGTGATTTTTTTAAAACACCCACCTTACCTAAGTGAAAAATGGAGAACACTGATGCTTATGGAGGCAATTTTTAAAACAACAATTTGTTTACACAGAACCACCACCACCGCCACCACCTCCAGTACAAACAATAACACCACACAAGAAGCAACAGACGAAAGTCGTCATTCCCTTACCAGAGGAGTCAGAAAATGTTACACGGTGGATTGTTGACCAGAATTTTAGACGGGAGCAGGAAAGATTAAAGATTCCATTTGGTAAAACATTTATTAACTATTTCCATAACAGTAATTTTTATGATTTGAACCTTTCAAGAGTTGTCTTTCTTAGAATATGTTTAGTGCTTTTTATTTTCAAATTCTGTTTACAAATGTTACAATGATATAAATACTTTATTAAATACAATACTATTAATATTTTATTAAATGATTTATTCAAAGTATATTGAAATGTTTTAGATTATAGCCTGCTTTTAAGGTTATTGCATTGCCTCTGTGACATAATTTGATTTATCTATTCAGATCCTAATCAGTGGAGTGAATTACATGTCAGACATTGGATAGACTGGGCTATCAAGGAATTCCATTTGGATGGAGTAACTGCAGAAAGCTTTCATATAAATGGCAGGCAGTTATGTGAAATGACACATCCAGAATTTGTGAAATTGATACCTTTTGACAGAGGAGATATTTTTTGGACACATCTTGAGTTGTTAAGGAAGTGTAAATTTGTTGGTAAGAAAATTATTACAAGGAAATGTTTGAACAATGTAAATTTAGTTTTTTGTCAGTAATTCATCTTCTTAACAGCTTTTAAAATGACATCATCTCTATGTGTATACAAAACAATTGCTTTTTATTAGTCCCCTACCAACAAAATCTAAGGGGACTATAGGTTTGCACTCTGTCCGTCTTCCTGTCCATCTGTCAGTCCGGCAAATCAGTTTTCCACACTTTTTTCTTCGTGCGTGAAGATATTAATTTGATATTTGGTATATAGTTTTATCATAACCAGCTACATATCAAATTTGAATTTTGTTCCGGTCTGATGATTTTGTGCAAAGTTATGGTCCTCAGACTAAGAAAATTCATGCAAATAATCAGTTTTCCTCACTTTTTTTCGTCATGCTTGTCAAGTTGAAAATATTGATTTGATATTTCTTATATAGTTTACACCATGACAAGTTATTGTTCAAGTTAGCATTTTGTTCCAGTACAATGCATTTTTAACCAGTAGGGGACTATGTATTGCCATGCAATACTCTCAAAATGCTTGTTGTATTTAATAATAGTTTTATTTAATTACACTGTGAACATTATATTTCTGTTTTTATTTCTCACAACTTCTTATTGTTATTACTCTAGTTATCTCTGTGTCAACAGTTTATGTTGGAATTTTTAAAGAAAATAATAAAAAAAGTTGTAATCTGTATTAAAACCAAACGTAAAACAATTTTAGATGCTGAAGATGTAAATAACACTTTATTTATTTAGTGTTTCTGAAGCGCTTTTCTGGATTAAAATTCATCAGAAAAACTGAAACATTACATGTCTTTTGGGGTTTTTTTTGTGTTGTTTGGTAACTTTCACATTACCGTATGCTGACTGGTGTATACATATTTTCGAAAATAATTGAAACTACTTTGCAAATCTATTTACATATTATATTTTGACATTATTTTTTGTTGTTGTTCCAGCTGTTATGCAGACACCAACACCACATGCTATTACAACAATTACAGTGTCAACATCTGGACAACAGGATGGTATGTTGAATCTGACAGGTGAAAAATAGAAATAAAAAGTTGATGTGACATTTTCATGAAAAACATAGTGTATTGTTTTCTTTCATTATTGTGCACAAATCTTTAGATCCCTGCTTGACTGGACATAAAACGATAATTTATTCCAAATTGCCATTTTAAAGATCTTTTATTTGCACTTTTGATAGTATTTTGGGTTTTTTAGTATTTGTTGTGCAAAATGCTTTACATGAGTTTAATATTTCTGGGTTACAGTTTATTAGCACTGTTTTATTCTTCAGAACATTAGATCAACTATATGGATTATCTTGAATTTTTTTTTAAAGAATCTGACAAATCTTCATTAAGTCAAAATGTAAATGAGAATAATGACTACAATTCACTTTTTTGTATGTTGTAGGAAGACTTAAACATTTAAAACAACACAGACCAAGATCTCCAAGAATTACTGGTGATGAAAGATTGTCTCATGGCAACAGAACAGGTAAAGAAATAAATATGTCTTGCTCCACTTATCATGGCCTTCAAACTGTTCTGTGTCATTTTTGGTTAGCCAATCCCCAGCTTGAGACCATTACATGTATATTTCGCTACTCCTAAAGCGTTTTGTTGATTGTGCCATATGATGTAAACATTGGTCCATCTTGTCAAACTATGTTGTGAACTTTTGATGTCATTATTTTTATACGACCGCAAAAAAAATTTTGTGGTCGTATATTGGTATGACGTTGGCGTCGTCGTCCGAAGACACATTAGTTTTCGCACTCTAACTTTAGTTTAAGTGAATGGATCTCAATGAAATTTTACCATAAGGTTCAATACCACAAAAGGAAGGTTGGGATTGATTTTGGGGGTTATGGTACCAACAGTTAAGGAATTAGGGGCCAAAAAGGGGCCAAACATAAGCATTTTTGTAACTTCCAGACATAACTTGTGTGTAAGTGTATGGATCTCTCTGACATTGTACCACAAGGTTCCATATCACAAAGGGAATGCTGGGATTGATTTTGGGGGTAATTGCCTCCAATTTTTAGGAATTAGGGGCCAAAAAGGGGCAAAAAACAAGCATTTTTCTAGTTTCATGACAATAACTTGTGTGTAAGTGTATGAATCTCTCTGACATTGTATCACAAGGTTCCATATCACAAAGGGAACGCTGGGATTGATTTTGGGGGTAATTGCCTCCAAATTTTAGGAATTAGGGGCCAAAAAGGGGCAAAAAACAAGCATTTTTCTAGTTTCATGACAATAACTTGTGTGTAAGTGTATGGATCTTTACGAAATTGTACTACAAGGTTCCATATCACAAAGGGAAAGCTGGAATTGAGTTTGGGGGTAATTGCCCTAAACGTTTAGGAATTTGGGGCAAAAAAGGGGCAAAAAATAAGCATTTTTCTAGTTTCCAGACAAAAACTTGTGTTCAAGTGTATGGATCTCTCTGAAATTGTACTGCAAGGTACCATACCACAAAGGAAAGGCTGGGATTGATTTTGGGGGTAATTCCCTCAAAATTATAGTAATTAGGGGCCATAAAAGGGCAAAAAAACAAGCATTTTTCTAGTTTCAGGACAATAACTTGTGTGTAAGTGTATGGATCTTTATGAAATTGTACTGAAAGGTTCCATATCACAAAGGGAAAGCTGGGTTTGAGTTTGGGGGTAATTGCCATAAATGTTTAGGAATTTGGGGCCATAAAGGGGCCAAAAATAAGCATTTTTCTTGTTTCCAGACAATAACTTGTGTTCAAGTGAATGGATCTCTCTGAAATTGTACTGCAAGGTACCATACCACAAAGGGAAAGCGGGGATTGAGTTTGGGGGTGATGAATCATAAGGGGGTTCAAAAAATTTTGGGGGGGGATTTTTTTTTTCCTTTTTTTTCTTTAAAATTTTCCATTTTGAATTGGTTATTTCTGATTTATATATGAAAGCAAATAATAATGATATGGTTTGAATAGGTAAATTAAAATTTTTTAAGTTCTTTCATTCTGTGTCAGAAACCTATGCTGTGTCAAATATTTAATTACAATCCAAATTCAGTGCTGTATCAAGCTTGAATGTTGTGTCCATACTTGCCCCAACTGTTCAGGGTTCGACCTCTGCGGTCGTATCAAGCTGCGCCCCAGCGGAGCATTTTATTTCTGCTTGTGTTCAATGTATTGTGAGGCAGCTGCCTCTGACTTTTAACTACAGGTTTATTTTTTTCCAATTAACAAAAGTAATCTCTTGATTATTGCTATATAGTTCAGAGTGGAATTTATTAGAAAAATTTGAGAATGAAAACAGTTGAATTGCTTAATTTCTGTGTTAGGATAAAATGTAAAAAGACAACAACATATATGTATATGAAAATATGATTATAATATTATGATAACTTTAGTATGATTTATTAGCAGTTTAAGACAGATGTAAAAAAAAACAATGTAGCTTGTTGGAAAATGGTTCATCATAATGCACCACAGCATATTCTGATTCGGTTTCTTTTTTACAATGCTTCCCCTGGTCTTAACTCAAAACATTTGGAATAAAAACATTTCTGTATTTCCAAAAAAATGAGGAGATGTGGAATGATTTCTATTAAGACAACTATCCACCAGAAGGCTAAAGGACAAGGCTGTAAGCAATTGCAGGTACAGCTTTCAACAGTGAGCAAAACATATAACTGTATAGTAAGCTATAAAAGGCCCTGGAGTTACAAATGTGAAACAAATCAAAAGAGGAAAATTACCTGATTTAAGAAAATACCATTCAGCCAAAAACCGATTATGGCAGACAGCAAAGAACAACACACTTAAATTAAAGGCTGATGGTGTGGGACAGGCATTTAAAGTATTTGGTGGAGTTAAACATGTTTATGTCATTTTGTCTTTGGCGGAGAGTTGGCATTGGCAATTGGCAATCATACCACATCTTTTTATTTTTTATGCCTCACTTAGGGGCATTATGTTTTCGGTCTGTGGGTCCGTCCGTCTGTCCTGCTTCAGGTTAAAGTTTTTGGTCAAGGTAGTTTTTGATGAAGTTGGAAGTCCAATCAACTTGAAACTTAGTACACATGTTTCCTATGATATGATCTTTCTAATTTTAATGCCAAATTAGAGTTTTGACCCCAATTTCACGGTCCACTGAACATAGATAAGTGATAGTGCAAGTGGGTCATCCGTGTACTATGGACACATTCTTGTTTATATTGATAGCATTTCTGTATTTGTAGGTTTAAAGTGATTATCAGTCAGGGGACTTATTGAAATAAGTGATTTTTAAATCACTTATTTAAGTAGCAAATTCAAAGTTTTGTCACAAATTGTGATTTTGTAGTTTTACCAAAATTTTAAACACATAGGTTTAGATAATATCTTTTCATTAGTAAAATTGGAAAAAATTAACTTTTTGCTTCTTTTAAGCAGCAAGGTTTGTGCCTTTGATGAAATCATTTAGCTGCAAATTCTATTTTAGTTGAAAAAATGCTATAAAAATGGCTTTCCATAATGAACTGTTACTTTCTTAACAGATTTTTCCCAGCAGTGGGAGTATTTTTCCTGTAAAATTTAAGGTTTCATCTTATAGATTATGTAATTTAATTCTACTGTTCGCTATCAAAATTTCACTGTTCGGAGGTGTTGAAATTAGTGGGGGTTATTAAAATAATGATACTTAAAGAAGTTATTTTTTTGGAAGGAAATTGAGGTATGATACTTAAAAAGTGATTTTTATGTCATTATCCTAGATTTAGTACAAGGTCATCACCTGACATGACCCGGTCATCCTATCAACACAGATGTTGGTTCTGATAATTTTAGCAACATAATTAGTCCCTGGATCATTAGTATTCTATATTTAAAGCTACAATAAAATTAAATCACTTAGTCTAGTGATTAATTTGTACTACTGTGGATTCATTATTATTCGTTGGATACCAATTTTCGTGGATTTCGTGGATACAGGTTAACCACGAAATTAAATGTTCAACGAATAACAAATTTTCTAAGGGCTTCAATGCTGACCTCGGCAAAACCACGAAATTAAATCTCCACGAACATGCAAGTTTTCCTTAATCCACGAAAATTGGTACCAACGAAAATAAATGAATCCACAGTACTTAAATAGGTGATTATTAAAGAAAGACAACTCTTACTTCCAACCTTTATGGACATAATGTTACTTGAATCAGTGATTTAAAAAATCACTCATTTAAGTAAGTCTCCTGACTGATTATTGGGACATTCAACTTAATATTTCTTTGATTTTGTAGGAAACAATGGACAGATTCAGCTGTGGCAGTTTTTATTAGAACTACTGACAGATAAAGACTGTAGGGAAGTGATTCAATGGGTCGGTGATGAAGGAGAATTTAAATTGAATAACCCAGAAATGGTGGCCCAGTTGTGGGGTCAGAGGAAAAATAAACCAACTATGAACTATGAGAAACTTAGTAGAGCACTTAGATATTACTATGATGGGGATATGATTGCAAAGGTCAGTTATTTTTAGATGATCAAATACTATTGATATCTGCAATAATAAATCAAGTGGCCAGCTGTTGTAATTTGCTATATCCTCAAATTTCAGGAAAACTGAAAATCGGCTGTCAGATTTATTTACTTTGTCCCACATCATGGAATATCCGATAAGAGTTGTCTCCCATTTTCAGTGATATTTGAATATGTTAATTTTAATAGATTTATTTCTATATATATGTCTCTATTAGAATGATTTAAAACTGTAAAATTCAAATTTTCGTAATGAATTTTGACAGGTACATGGAAAAAGATTTGTATACAAGTTTGTGTGTGATCTGAAAATGCTGTTAGGATATACTGCAGGAGAACTCAATAGACTTGTTACTTTTTGTGCCGAAAGGAAGTTGCAGAGAGTAAGAGAATCTTTGCGACCAGGCACATGTAAGTTTTAAATTAAATATAAGTATAGATGAAAGGGATAAAAGGTGTATGTACATAACTCAGCAATTACTAATAAAATATGCTAAGACAAGGGCTTTCATACCTGTTCTTATAACATGTTAGTATGTTAGCGTTTGCTACACTCTATGATGAATTAAGAAGTTCATATGGAATACATTCTTTTCAACCAATACAAAAATACAAATGAGGATATTTTACTCATGAAAGAATTTGAAAGTATCATGCTGTAGATGAGAAAAACTAATAGGTTGTTTCAATATTATTATATGATTTTTAATTTAACATATCAAATTCATTGGAAATATATATATTTTTTCATTTCAGTACAAATAGCAATGACAACATCATGATAGTAAAACAGATTCTGTGATTATCCTCCTGTTCAAATGTTGGACCATTTGTCTGTACAGTATTTATAATATTTTGTATAGATATGTGCAGAAATATTATTTTCTTGCCTGTCAGGTTGTTTTAGTTGAAACTTGTTAACTATTTAAAAATTAAAGAACTGTCTGGGAACTCAACTACAACTGAAAAAGCTATTTTTAGTATGCAAGTTTAATTTTGGGCTTTATAACTTTTATTATTAGATTCTTGTTCCAACAACATTTGTTTTCAAAAATGTTAGTTGAATATTTTTCTTTTTGAAATTGATTCCTTTAGCGAAAAAGCTGTTTCCAGATTGAAAATGTCAAAATGTTGAATACAAAATTGTTATCTTATGGTATTATTTACTTTTTAAAATAAGACATTTTCTGTACAACATTTAAAAGAAATGAGGTTCCGGTATTGATAATATCTTGCAGATTCAATGAACTTTAAAATATTGTGAAAAAAGATTCAATTGAATTTTTAACTTTTGAACATAAAATTCTTAACTTATTTTGAGGAAAAATTCTGTCTGAAGGTTTTAATTTGCTGGAAATGTATGCAAGTAAAATGCTATGTCTTGTGATCTAAAGTGCAGCTTAAATATTTGATTTTATATGCATTGTGCTGGTCATATGTACATATATCCTGAATCAGGAATAAAATGTTAGTGCTCAGGGTCTGAACTAATATATGTATTGTAAATATTGAAATGAAATGAAATGATGAGAATTTTGTCTTTGGCAAAACAATTTTGTTTGTAAAATAAAATAGCAATAGACGGTCAGGGGCATTACTTAAACAAGTAACTTTCAAAATTATCTACACAAGTTATGTTGAGAACAAGGCTTCTCTTTTAAATTATTATTTTTATGAGTGACTTTTGTAAATTTAATTTAGATAGGTGTCCATTCATTTAGATTTTACTAGCTTAAACTAATCATCGCAGACATCTGGTTATTTTTCCCATGAGATATCAAAAATTATCCTCCTGAAACACTAATTGCCTCCCAGACGCACTTACATGCCTCTGACTGATGGATGCATTTTGTATATAGTTGTTTATGCTTTCAAATATAAACATGAATATTTTTAGTTATTCTGTCAATTGGAACTGGATTTAAAGGAAAACAGTACCAATGTTTGAATTCTTCAAGTTCCATATATATTGGAGATTGTTTACATCTGGAGAAGATGGTGAAATAAATTAAATGTATCAATATTTTAAATAATTTTATTAATTATTGAAATAATGGGGCTTTGGTGAACAATTTTTACATCTTGATCTTTAGGCAATAAGGTTAAAAAAAAAAAAAGGTGTGATACCCTCATGGGTAGTCAAGGTCGTTAAACACCCCTTTATTAGTAGTAATCTATAAGAAGAATTCTAACGTATAAGGAAAATTGAAGGTGATAAAAAAAATGAAAAAGATGGCATTGATTTTTTAATAATGTACAAAGATGTAAGTATTTGTGAATTGATATTCCTGTTTTCGAGTATTTTTTTAATGCTTGTACAGTATCTATATTTATAATTGAAACAACCATTGCCTTAATATATTCATATGTGCACATTTCTAGAAGTTGTATACATCATTGTATATGTATGTAAATTAATAGATTATTTGTTCCATGTTATCGAAAAAAAATACTATTTGTGGTAGACTGTTGGAACAGTAGAGAAGTCAGTCTTCAGTTCAACAGGGTATTATTATCTGTTTTGAAATATGAAAATCTCAGAATTGTTCAAGATCTCCTTTTTTTTAAACAAAATTTCCATACTTTTCAATCATTTTGTAAATATGTCATTGATGCATAGGTCAGTATCTCAAATCAAAACATTCTGTTTGTTAAATGTAGTTAAGTTTGTGTGAACCTCAATTTTAACAATATTTGTAAAAGAAAATGTAATGTTCTTCAAGTTGTAATGTTGTGGTTTTATTCCCCGAATATACATTTTTTTCTCAATAATTGCAAAAAACATAACAAGAAAAAAAAGAATTTGCACATTTGGAAAATATGATTCAGTAACAACTATTTGTGGAATCTATGCAAATGTGTTATCTTGTTGATGTTATAACTGAATAAACAGTGATCTTGACCCATTATAAAAAAACAAAAGTGGACTCAACCTAACAAAACCTTTTTTCCCCTTCATCCTTAAATTGATATTACCAAATACTGTGTATTCAATAATATGGCAGTAATGGGCCAAAACATTTTGAGGGGTACAGACTGCCATTTCATAGACTAATAAAAAAAATCTTTAAAAATGGATCCACCCAAAACTTCATTTTGATGGATCTGTCATTGTCTACAATAATAAGTGCTGAGGTTGTTGTTAGCAATGGTAAAACATGAATATAAGTAGACTTTAGTGAAATACAAATCCATAGTTGCTTTGAAAGCAGCAAGTGTTAAATCGTGAAGAAATGTATTGTTCAATGAAGAACTGATCCTGTCAAGAGTAATATTAGAACCAATGATATTAATCTAAGCCATTACATTAAATATTGCATGTTATTTTCTTTCATATGCCATCAAACAATTGTATGCTTGTTTTTTCATCCAAAGTACATTTAATGTATACAGTGTATTATATTGACTGCACAAGTGAAATCATATTTTACCCTCGGCATGGTCTTTCTATATAGTGCAACATAGTTGTGTTGTAATGTCATCAAGATCTATGTTTTGAGGACTCAGGCCTTTGTTGGCATTGAGGCTCATTGTTAGAAATCCATAATTGTTATATTTCTCACATAGACATTCATACCACCTTTTTTTCTAATTTCCATAATATATGTAAATATGAAATAGAGCAAATTGAATTATTATAATTATAATTGTTTTGATTGAAGCAGAATGAGCTATTATATCTTTCAAATTTTTAGCTTTTAGCGTTCCAGACAAAGGTAAATCCAGAAAAGTGCTTCGGATGCATTTGATTTATTTTTTCATTGAAAATCTTAAATATGTAAATATTTGTCTCTTTTAAGGCAAACATAAAATGCCATTAATCTATTACTATCAGAAGTTTTTTTTTTAACCGAATATAGCACTGTAATAAAGAAAAATAACTTGTACAGAGCATATTTCTGATTAAAAATAGTGAACTGAAAAATTTGTAGATATGTCCTAGTCCTGTTATTCATTATATATAGAAGACTTTTTATTAATTTGTTACATTTTATGTTGAGTTATAATGTGCATTTATTACCTTATTGTAAATAATGTCAAAGACCACATTTGATTATGCATTGTTTATACACTTGTTGACTTGTATATAGTGAAAACCTTTATAAATTAAAAAATCTTGTACATACATTGTGTTGTTTGGAAATCATGAGGTGCCTTTAAGGGGGCAGGGGGGTAGGCCCCTTATGGAGCTACATATATGGTCAATGCATAGACCTATTTATACGACCGCAAAAAAAAATTTTGCGGTCGTATATTGGTATGACATTGGCATCGTCGTCGTCGTCGGAAGACACATTGGTTTATTGCACTCTAGCTTTAGTTTAAGTGAATGGATCTCTATGAAATTTTACCATAAGGTTCAATACCATAAAAGGAAAGTTGGGATTGATTTTGGGGGTTATGGTACCAACAGTTAAGGAATTAGGGGCCAAAAATAAGCATTTTTGTAACTTCCAGACATAACTTGTGTGTTAGTGTATGTATTTCTCTAACATTGTACCACAAGGTTCCATATCACAAAGGGAATGCTGGGATTGATTTTGGGGGTAATTGCCTCAGAATTTTAGGAATTAGGGGTAAAAAAGTGGCAAAAAACAAGCATTTTTCTAGTTTCCAGACAATAACTTGTGTTCAAGTGTATAGATCTCTCTGAAATTGTACTGCAAGGTACCATACCACAAAGGGAAGGCTGGGATTGATTTTTGGGGGTAATGAATCATAAGGTGGTTCAAAACATTTGGGGGAGGGATTTTTTTTTCTTTAAAATATTCCATTTTAAATTGGTTATTTCTGATTTATATATAAAAGCAAATAATAATGATATGGTTTGAATAGGTAAATTAAAAATTTTTTAAGTTCTTAGACCACATTCATTCTGTTTCAGAAACCTATGCTGTGTCAAATATTTAATCACAATCCAAATTCAGTGCTGTATCAAGCTTGAATGTTGTGTCAATACTTGCCCCTACTGTTCAGGGTTCGACCTCTGCGGTCGTATCTAGCTGCGCCCAGCAGAGCATTTTATTACATGTTCTTCTAATGTTGCTCAGTTTGGGGGACCCCTCTTTTTCAAAATCCTTGATCAGCATCTGGACATCTAGGGAACCCCTAATAGTAAGTAAATGATACTTGCTGTGCAGTTGTATGTATAGCATTAGCACATCTAATTTTCATGGTGATTATTTTGCCTGTTCCTTCAGTCATGGTCTATTGACTTTGAAACTTTAGGATAGTTAACAGTTCAGTTTAAGAGGTACCACAAATGGTAAGAAAATTATGTTAGTAATGCAATTGTTTTATCAATGGCACATCTCATTTCCATGGAGATTATTTTGGCCCATCCACTTCCTCAAATAATGTCTATTTTTGTATCAATAAACAATATAACAAAAAACAATACAATTTACAAATAATGAATATTTAACAACTTAAATTCACAATTGGAAAATTGTTGGACAGGATTTTTATTAATGTCACAAACAGACATGGTCTATTGACTTTTAAACTTGAGCATAGTTTTGCCTGTTAATGTTTGTGATTAGGTCAGTTTTAGGGAAAGCACTAATGGAAAGTCAATGATACTTGTATTAACATGAGCACATCTCTTTCCAGGAGTTTCATTGACCCTGAGACCTCAAAAATGGTCTATTGACTTAAAACATTGCCTTTTCTACATTTTAAAAGGTTATGATTGGGTCAGTATAAGGAGAACCACTAATTGCAAGTCAAGTCAATGATATTTGTTGTGCAGTAAAGAGATATTGGGTCAAGTCAATGAGACGGCAACCCAGCAAAAACAAAAACAAAATACCAGTGGGTTATCAATGCCCAAGTTTCCATACATTATGCAAAGTTTTAAATAGCTGGAATCAAACTACCACAGATCTTGCATCAAAATGAAATTCTCAAATTAAAAAAAAAAAGATTTTATAACAATACACATTGGCATGGGACAAGCACATTTACATATTGCAGGTTGAAACTAGTTTGATATGTGAAATTACAAAAAAAAGCAAAGATACACATAACAATCAATCTAAAAAGGCATCGACATGAAGCAAAATACTATATTAGCTTGGAGTTCTTTATTTATACTGGAGGTATGCCTTTTTAAATCTCCAACATCAGCTGATATACCTCCAGATAGATTTTTATATTAACTTCTATTCGCACGACCTCTTGTAATACCCAAAGAAAATGTGTGCACAAAAACAATTTAGAAAAGAAAATTGACGAAACTATAAGTTTCAAAATAACACAAACATATTTAGTTACAATAGAAAAATGTCAGAAAAAATGTCTTTTTAATTGACGTATTAGGCTAGAAACTGTCGAAGGACTCTGAAATCCTGGCCCCTCCCCAGTTTCTAAGTTTCATACAAATATATTTGATAGTTTGTGAAGTTGACCTAATAATGTACGATTGATTGTTGCACCATTAACGTTCAGTGGCAAGTATTTCGTGCATGTTCAGGAATAGAACAAATTAACAATTAATACAATAGGTAAAGTTTTCGCAAAGTTGGTCGACTTGAATGGACTTTGGTAAACTTCGTCCTCCCCAAGTTTCTAAGTTTTTTTTTCTTTCTGACATTGGCCTAATATTGCATGATTGGTTGTTGCTTGCTTAACGTAAAGTGGCAAATATCTCATGGATATTTAGGACTGGAACAAATTAAAGATTAACACAAAAGATAGGTTCTGCACTGGAAGTTTGGGCTACCACTGGAAAATGAGGATGTTTGAAAAGGGGATAGGGGCAGGCAGTTTGCTTTGTACCAGGCCATCTACGGACTCCTCATGGAGTTGTTGCAAGGGTTCTTTAACGTGCAGGGACTTTGTCACTCTCCCTACACGCGACGTCGGATTTAACAACCTCGGTTTCAATGTCTTCTTGTCTATAAAAATAAGAACAATTTTTAAAGACCTAAATTGTTTTTTAATTACATTATATGACATACCCAAGGACAAGCTTTATCTTTGTCCTTGGTATGTACCAAAGTTTCGTTAGACACATCATACACTATATTAGTTTCTCCATCTACATCATTTACAGAAAATTTATATTTTCCTGTCCCACTCAAAAATGTGACTGTATTGACATAAGCATCAGTTACTTTCAACGTTGCATTTTTCCAACAACTTTTATCAGGAGCAATTTCTAATGTTTCCTTGGCAGCATTGAGATGCTTACGAAGAGATTCTTTTTTCTTTCCTCCTTTGGTTCCTGAAACGCCGCAGTAACGCATGACTGCGTTTTCTATTATATCTTTCGTTATTTCAGGAGCATTTATAATATCATCGATGAATTTCATATAAATTGTTTCCACTATTTCGACTTTTCCATAATGTGGACAAGTTTCGTACACTATAAATTGTCTGTCCCCACGACCACAATAAATACACAAATAACTATGATCAGTGTCCCTGACTAGAATTTCTGAATTAGCTAAAACGTATGGGTCGTTTTTAGCAATTATGTAATCAACTATACCGGAAAGCATTCTCTGCATAGAAATCATGTCTTTGTAATTGTTGGCCCTCCGTCTATAAAATTCCATTACCCGGCTAATCAAATTATCGTTTACTCCGTCAACTTGTATTATTTCCATGTTTTTTTTCTTTTCACATTTTTAATAAATCTGAAAGAGATGAACATTATTATCCATAGCAGTTTTTTGAGAGCACCAATGATCACACATTCCAATATTAGTTTTCTGATATGTAGTTAGTGGTTTCTTTTTTAAAGAATTTATACCCATCACACTTATTATTCTGGTTTAAAGTACACAATAAGAGGATATTATGTTAAATTTGAAAACTATGTTATCGACCTTCAACCTCAAATTTTAGGGTTTTGTCCCATTCTTGTAATATATTCTAATAGAAACTAAAAACAAATCAGTCATCAGTCTAATCAATGTGAATCAACCTGAAATCATTTCCCCAATTAAGCGTGCATGTAGCCTAACAAACTATTAAAGTCATGGGAGATAAAAAAAAAAAAAAAAAACCCATATTTACAAACTATACTTACATTTAAGGTAAAATTAATAAACTCAAATTAGTAAGAATTTTGTTTATTAAAAACTTCCGGTCGTTTTGTACAATTGGTTCATTCTTGCGATCGATAGAAATCAATTTCAACGAATACAAAAGAATCATTCGTTGGAATATCTTCAAAGGGTTTCACATTTCATTCAAAACATATGTAAAAATCGTTAATATATTTAAAGACAAACAGATGATTTCAACCAGAGTATGCATAACATATTTTATATTTAATGGATGCATAAAAATAGATTATGAAATCCATAGAATATATATACTGTCAGATATGAAATAGTATCACCAAAATACTATCGCTATCGATATGCGAGTAGCATTGGTTTAATTAATTCCTCAAAAGTAAATTGTTCATATGTTATTTTTACGAACATAAATAACACGCTGGAGAAATAAAAATTAAAACGCGTAACTTTATAGAAAAACTGGTTCCAATTAGAATGACAACAATTTAAATATGGTATATTTTGACGGATTCCTTGAATATTAGGGTGTAACTAGTATAAGTTTGTTTTGCCATTATAATGTTGTTGTATTATGTTTATTTTTCATGTTTTTGTTTTCCTTCCTACGGTTGTAATGGCAGTAAAACAAGGGAAAATATACAGTAAACATTTGAGCGAAACATGCATGATCAATCACGAATAACACAAATCTGTACAACTTAAAACCAAAATATTATGCATTAAAACCAAATTATTGTTTTAGGCTAGACATTTTCTTCATCCCAGTATACAATCATACATTTAAATTTTCCTTATTTCTATTACCTTTATAACATATTTATAGGAAACATTGTTAACAGTGTATTTATTCATAATTTAATCCCGATAATCTGGTTACCATAAACATATAGATACCCCTTATACCACTAACATAGATAAACCGCAATTTCAACGAAATGGCATTGTAAAACAATTTTAAATCGATATTGTGTATAAAAAACAACAAAGAAACCACGATTAAAATTTAATACGACAGACGCGCGATTCGTCCACACAAGACTCATCAGTGGCACAGTTGAAAGGTTAAAACCCAACTTCGGAGTCCATTTGATTAATGTAGTTAATGTTATTTTCAGGGTTAATTTTTTTATCAATATCGGCAAATAAACAGACATTTCATAGTCTAAAACGAGATTTTTAAAAGAAACAACTTCTGCGCATGTTTATTCATCAAATTGAAAGCATATGAATTCAAACATACCCTTCCGATGCAACTAAAACACGTCTTTCACCATTTATTACAATTGACAGATGCATCAAACCTTCATTTCCCCATGAATTAAACAACATAAGTATTGGTAAAATTAAACCTGTAAGATGTTCAAATCATGCATTCCTTTCCTACTAATGTGACAAGAAAATTCAGATCCCAATGTTTGATTGCTTTCTTAAGATTTACCGTCGTGGCACTTATTCTAAGAATTATAAATTCAACAGCAACAGAACCAAATGATGGACAATTATCGGGCTAAATGATGCACCAATCAAGGTTTTTTCCAGACCGCTTGAATTCACGGCAAATCATTTGTAGATTCATTAAAAAGGCTTTGGAAAAGGTATATGTGGACACCAATTGTAAGCAACTTTGCAAAATTCAATTAACTGTACTGGTAATTATAAACAAATAATGCACAACATTCTTTCATATATGGTCTGAGTATATATAATCCCGCCTATTGAAAAAGCCCCTATGTTGTCATTGTCATTTTTGTGTTTATTTGTGTAAAATCTTTTCAAAGTCAAAAGGTAAAAGCATCTTGCAAAGTTTTTTTTTATTTCACTATACATTCTGTCACTCAATAACCCACCATTCAATGCGTGCTAACATCTCATATATCCCAGTGAACTTGAATTTAAGGATATTACAAAAGTGGAAGGTCTGCTTCATATCTTGATCTGTTCCTCGATATTGAGACGAGATGGACGACTCCAAACTAGAATCTATGACAAACGTGATGATTTCAACTAACCATTTCTCAATTTCCAATTTCTCAACAGTACAATAACCTCTGCTCCACCGCATGGCGTTTAAATATGTTAGTTAATACGACACGCTCTTGCTGTCATGAAATAGAAGGTCACACTATGCAGACTTCATTTACAGGGGTGTGCTCCTTACACAAAACTACTCCACCAGAGTTGTCAGGGAGAACGAATGAAATCGACATCATTTCGGGACCTTTTATAGCTGACTATGCGGTATGGGCTTTGCTCATTGTTGAAGGCCGTACGGTGACCTATAGTTGTTAATTTCTGTGTCATTTGGTCTCTTGTGAAGAGTTGTCTCATTTGCAATCATACCACATCTTCTTTTTTAGCTCACCTGACCTGAAAGGTCAAGTGAGCTTTTCTCATCACTTTGCGTCCGTCGTCCGTCGTCCTGCGTCCGTCGTCCGTCGTCCGTAAACTTTTACAAAAAACTTCTCCTCTGAAACTACTGGGCCAAATGCACCCAAACTTAAACACAATCATCATTCAAGTATCTAGTTTAAAAAATGTGTCCGGTGACCCGGCCAACCAACCAAGATGGCCGCCATGGCTAAAAATAGAACATAGGGGTAAAATGTAGATTTTGGCTTATATCTCTGAAACCAAAGCATTTAGAGCAAATCTGACATGGAGTAAAATTGTTTATCAGGTCAAGATCTATCTGCCCTGAAATTTTCAGATGAATCGGACAACCCGTTGTTGGGTTGCTGCCCCTGAATTGGTAATTTTAAGGAAATTTTGCCGTTTTTGGTTATTATCTTGAATATTATTATAGATAGAGATAAACTGTAAACAGCAATAATGTTCAGCAAAGTAAGATCTACAAATAAGTCAACTTGACCAAAATGGTCAGTTGATCCCTTAAGGAGTTATTGCCCTTTATAGTCAATTTTTAATCATTTTTCGTAAATTTTTGTAATCTTTTACAAAAATCTTCTCCTCTGAAACTACTAAGACAAATTTAACCAAACTTGTCCACAATCATCATTAGGGTATCTAGTTTAAAAAAAGTGTCCGATGACCCCGCCCGCAAACCAAGATGGCCGACATGGCTAAAAAATAGTACATAGGGTAAAAAGCAGTTTTTGGCTAATATCTCTGAAACCAAAGCATTGAGAGCAAATCTGAAAAGGATAAAATTGTTCATTAGGTCAAGATCTATCTGCCCTGAAATTTTCAGACCAATCAGGCAACACGTTGTTGGGTTGCTGCCCTTGAATTGGTAATTTTAAGAAAATTTTGCAGCTTTTGGTTATTATCTTGAATATTATTATAGATAGAGATAAACTGTAAACAACAATAATGTACAGCAAAGTAAGATCTACAAATAAGTCATCATGACCAAAATTGTCAATTGACCCCTTAAGGAGTTATTGCCCTTTATAGTCAATTTTTTACAATTTTCATAAATTTTGTAAATTTTTGTAAATTTTTGCAAAATATTTTCCACTGTAACTACTGGGCCAAGTTCATTATAGATAGAGATAAAAGTAAGGAGCAAGAATGTTCAGTAAAGTAAGATCTACAAACACATCACCATCACCAAAACACAATTTTGTCATGAATCCATCTGTGTCCTTTGTTTAATATGCACATAGACCAAGGTGAGCGACACAGGCTCTTTAGAGCCTCTAGTTATAATTGCATAAGTTTCACGGTCACTATCATGAATTGGTTACCAGATACGATATGTCGGTATCTCAATTCAATGGCGACATGTTTTCGCTGTCTTAGATCTTTAGATACCAGTGAAAAAAGTCGTATGGTATGCAATTTAACCAATGGTTTCAAATTGCTGTTTTTGACATATTGACTGAGTGTGAATTCGCAATGCGGGCGATACAGGGGCCTCGGTGGCCGAGTGGTCTAAGTAGTTACTACTGTAATCACTAGCCAGTCAACACTGAGGTTGTGTGTTCGAACCCCGCTCGTGCGGGTGCACTTGACTCCAATCTTAATTGACTAGGATTGTCAGTTTTCCTATCGAAGGTCGGTGGTTTTATCCGGGCACTCCGGCTTCCTCCACCAATAAAAACTGGCCGCCACGGAATAGCCCAAAAGCGGTGCTTAAAAGTGGCGTTAAAACAACAAAAAATCAAATCAAATTAATGCAGGTGATGCATGCATAGAAGGAGACGCCTACCCTGTCGATGCACCCGATATCGCTCCTTTTTGAGTTCATACGATTCCATCAGTTTTATCTTGATTTGTCTCTTTTTAATCGATTTACGGGAATGAACATCGATAAACTGCTGTCGCCTTAGTTAATTCAGCACAATTTTTGTGATGAATTCGGGAGTAAAAATACTATAGCTTTCCACCTGTATGTAACATAAATATCAAACGCGAAACATATTATATTAATTTTAGATTTTCTGTTTGATAGGTGAATCCTGAACAACTTCAGGCTGAAAAATTTCTGTGACTTAATAATTTTACGTTTCCAAAATTATTTCGACTTTTACTATTTACAATTATACAAATGGACCAATACCCTATGCTAGTTTATAGAAAATGCTGAATTCAAATCGTTTAAAATGATAACTTCCTTTATGCATGAATACGAAGGGTAAATATATCCTTTTAAGCACGATTGTTGTCTCTATGACACATTCCCCATTTCCGTTCTCAATTTTATTTTTACCTTTTAAGTACGAGGTCGATGTGTAATTAAAAACACAAACAACGTTGTTTGTTAACGCACTTTTCAGCTCTGTGTATATTTGGTATGCATGCATAAAAAAATCTTAAATTACAGTGAACCTTTTTTGAATGAAATAATGTCACAATACGATATCCTAACATTCCGTTAATATTGATGACTTGCCTCCAAAACGTATATGTTATGTTACGTTTATGAAACATGAAGTTTCCTAAAATAACCACCGAATGAAAAGATAGTTAAAACCCATTAGGTGTATATGAATATAAGGATTAAGCATTCAATAAGTCATATTGGATTGCTCAAAAGTGCGGCAAAATGTACGAAAAGAGTAAAAATAGATGTGCGCAAAACGTCCGAGAGACAGCAACAGACAGCAACACATACACCCAAAAAAAGAAAACAAGAAGAGGTCAACATTCAATCTTCAATATAACATTAGTTCAACTCCGAGTCTAGATAAATTCTGACAAACTAGAAGGGGCCATGACAAAAAACGAAAATGATCAAAAGAAAAAAAAACACAACATGGGCATTATTGACTGGGCAGCACGAATCCCACCAAACTTGAATTTTATCTCGCACAAGAATGAAAAAGAACCGACTTCATGACCTTAATGATGAATTATTCAAAATACTTATGTATAAGATACATATTATATCTCGAAAAATCTGTTTTAAAAAAGTGAACGGGCGCAAACTGATAATTGACTTCCTTTTCCAAATAACTGTAGTGATAATGTTAGCTAGAACTTTGAACTGAATGCAATATATATATATATATATATATATGATACAAAGGTTAGAGGTCAGATAATGTTTGTTTAGAACAGAATAAATCTAATACGCAATAGAAGGTCTTGTTTCTTGTTAATTAAACATCTACTGGTGATTAATCCTAACCATGATCATAGAACACCTTCCGTACATCAAATTTTTCACATTTCTCTAACAAATAAACATGTAAGAAGGTGAAGAATAAGATTAAATAGTTAATAATAAGGTTACATTTGTTACGTCATGTTTAGGATGTTTTAAAATCACCTGTACAAAACACTAGTCAGTCAACACTTGAATTTAAATATCTTAAGGACATTCCTTTTATAAACATCCGGTTGTCTGAAAAAGGTAATCGTAATTGTTTTTCATGTATTTGAAGATGAATATATAATTATTTGTCTGAAAATGTCTCTTTTATAATTTGTTTTCATTTTAGGCCCTAGTATAAGATGTTTAAGAATCAGTTTAAGTCCTTCAGATACTGGATATTACCAAATATTAGCGACCGTTCTGGTAAGCCTCTGATTCTCTAAACGTCTTTAACTGTTAAACACAAAAGACAATACATACAGTAGATCCACGCATAAAAACATCTTACAGATGGTGAAGTTATTAATCGTTCACTTATCAAAGACTTCTAAAGTAACTTCTATGTAATTTCGAAGTAAAATGACAGCAATTAGCTCAAATTAATTTAATGAGTTCAGTTGCAAAGTGCATGAATACATGAAAGCTGAAAAAAGAATTAATTCATTATTAACATTCATGTTTGTATATATCTCAATAAAAAAGGAATATCGAATATACGTCATGGACACAGGAAATAATTGACACATAAAGGCAACAGGCATTTTGATAATCGTTGGGGAACAAAAGACAGATATGTATAAAGAAAAACTAAAATCGTCAAAGTCTAGGTAAAATCATGAAAAATGTAAATAATTAAATAGCATAATTTATGTTAGGTTTTAAGGATGCACCCTGCATAAACTATGCTATCTTAAATGAGTATTTTCCATGTTTTAACCTGTTTTATAATATCTATAAACTAAAACAAATTGTTATCATTGTTGGAAGCGGCAAACATTTAAGATAACAATAATTTCCATAATTGTTCTATTGTGATATTAGAATGGCGTAATAACATTACTATTCGTCAAAATCGCCGAAAATAATCAAATACAAAAGTGTTGCCAACATTTAAGTGAAACAATAACCCAATGCTTTCCCACAATGTTTTGAACAAACTGTTTAAAATCAACTGTTTGCCAAAAAACAAAACACAAAAACAGGTAAGGTTTTGAATATTTTCAAACATTTTGGCCTTAAGCATCACTGAAATGACAATTATTGTCGCCATGTGCATCTTGTGCAGTAAAATTGGTACCATTAGTGTTATAAAGAGCGAAAGATGTCCGCTGGAAGTGTTTTCAAACATGGACCCCAATTCATATGTAAGTATATTTTTTTTCTTTCTAGTTTAAGTTTGAACAATAGAAGAAAAATTAAAGGAATGACCACTTGTAAAAAGCACGAGACAGAGGAGGTCCGATTCTTCTGTGAGGAATGTAAAGAACTTATATGTGATGATTGTGTAGTAGGAGACCATTCCATTTGCATCAAAACCAAAATAAGTGAATATGGTCAAAGACAGAAACGAGCCTTACAGGAAACCACTGAAACCGCCTCAGAAATCGAAGTACCAAAAATCAACAGAATATTAGAACAAGTAAAAAATGCTAAACAATCTTTCAATAGTTCAGTAGACAAAGAAATAGCATCTGTTTGCTCAAAGACAGAAAACATTATAAAGATATTCAATGAAATCAAAGTAGAATTGATTAAAAGCTTCGAAGACGCATGTAAAACTGCAAATGATACATTTGATAAGATTACACAGGAACATACTCAAAGAAAAGATAACATACAAGAAACTGTCGACGAAATTGAACAGAAGGGTTCTAATTTATCGACAACTGATATTGCCATTTACGATTCAAAACTGAATGAACTTCTGAACGATAACCAGTTTGTGGAAACCAGTCTAAAAATTGAAATTCCAAAGCACTGTTTTCACAAAGAGTATGAAATAAAGGAAAATCTTCGACATATATTAGGGATCTTAGATTATGGAGAATATGATTTACCTTCTCCTATCGAAACACTTTCCAATACTGATGTATACAAACTACCATCGAAAAGAGAAAACGACAAAGAAGATTTAACTATAGAAAACTCATCAAGAAAAAATATAGAAATACAACGATCAGATTCATTCCAAACAACATCGTCCAATGTTGCTGATGGAAAAGTGATATATAGTGAGGAGAAAGGAAGCGACTTTTACGGTTTAATACCGAAACGTAAAAAGTTCGAAGTAATTATTTCATTCAAACACAAACAAAAGGTATTCCACATTATTCCAAAGAAGGAATGCCGAAATGCATGGTTAATAGGCTCCGGTATAAGTGATCTTAATTTAAATACTGAGTCACCAACGTGCGCATTACGAATATCATCCTTAGATGGAAATGTGTTAACGGCATGTAGAAGCAATGCACATGGATTATTGATAGGGATGGAAAATAAAAAGACACTTAGAAATTTACAAGTGTCTTCTTCAATATTTAGCAAAGCTAAAAATTACAAACTAATTTCCTACATTTACGTCGATTCCAATAATTTAGCTAAAGTAAGCACAGCTTCAAGAATGGACGATCCAAACAATGTAGCTGCAATATGCACATCTTCAATAAAGGGTTCTGACATAGTTATATGCCTTAGAGATGACCCAATGTCAGAAAGCAAATTCTTCAGTCCTACGTGTGAGAAATTTGTGATTGAGTGGTATTCCACAGAGAAGCAAAAGACAAAAGATATTGTAATTTCGTCAGATGATATCGAAATAAGAAATCCTATTCACATTTGCGAAAATCGGATCGATGGCGACATATGCATAACGTGTTCACCGAAAAACTTGTCATCATGGATTTTACTTTTAGACAAGAATGGAAAGTATAAAATGAGATACCCCTCAAAAAATCAAACGGCAAATAAGGAGACCGAGACGAACTCTTTTATTGTGTCTGGATTTCTAAATGATGGGACAATAACAATATTAGATCGAACAAAACGCTGTCAGCACCTTATAGATAGAGGAGGAAAAAATTTACAAATAGACCTATATCATGATCAGCCAATCTGTTTGGCTGTTGATATGTATGATAATTTGTGGGTCGGGTTTGACAACGAACATATTCGAGTGATAAATTACAATGATAGATATGAAACTTATATCGAACACAAGACCTAATGTAACATGTTTAACACTTCTTTTGAAAATACTATTTTCGATTCTTTGTTTTATTCTATTTATCTCTTACAACGGAAATGAACTGTAAAAGCTATGACATTTATATTTGCAATTCGAAATAAATTAGAATGCTAGAAAATAATCAAAGAATCAAATAATACAGCATTTGTTTGGTAGATATATATTTCGCCGTTTCATATGAAATAGAAATGTATTGTTGGTAGTTTGGTTGTTGACTTAACTTTAAAATACTCTTCGGCTAAATTTACTGATTGTTTAGGTTTTGACGCACGTTGAATGGTCCACAATCATCATTATCGGGTTTAGCAAACCTAATTTATTTAAGATTCCAAGAAAATACAAAGAGACCAGTTTCAGTTGTAGCCCTTTGTTTTTTCAAGGTTCCATTTGATAATAAAGCTCTTACCATATTTCAAAACTTTTACATCCTCGGCTTTCAAATATTTGGCTTTTAGCGTTCCTGATGAAAGTAAACTCAGAAAAGCGCGTCGAACGTATACAATTAATAAATTGTTGTATTCATTTTTGTTCAGTGAAAATTGCTGTGGTGCTGATTATTGACCACGATCTCCCTCACTGTCCATGGGACAACCAGATACACAATATGGTATGCAATTATCAACTGTACTCAATTATTATCATCGTGACTTCAAAAAACTACTTTATTCCTATGGGTCGAACCCTACTATTGGTGTCTTGTAGCCGGTGAGGCATGTTGTGTCAAACTTCAGTCGCGTAATACAAATTTGTGCTACCAGCAGGCAGCTTGTTTATATTGCATTTTATTTCTATTGAAATCTAAAATAATTATGACAAACATTTGAATAATTAACAATTTTTTTATGTGGGACAAAACTCAAGGAGTTCTTCCTAATATAGGTTTATCTCATAGATCTCATAGAAAAAGTAACAAGTTTTAGCTTATTTGCTAATCAAATACTAATAATAAGTGTTTACGTCATTATAGACATTCGGATCTTTTACGTATGTATAGATTTGTAAAGAATTATATCCTGTAAGGATATGTTTGAGCTGAAAACTGTGTATTTGTATTTTTTCAAGCTGTCTAGTAAAGCAGATCTTTTTGTGTCATAGTTCTTGCAATTCAGTAAAAATGTTCTCATGTTTCTTCAAGAGGCCAGAAAAGAAAAACGGTCGAAAGACAGTTTACAAAACACAACAAAGAAAATAAAAGACTGAGCAAATCAAACCCCATCAAACAACCGGGGGTGTTCTCAGGTGCTCCGGAAGGGTTAGCAAATCCTGTTCCACTTTTGACATCCGTCGTATTGCTTATGTAAGTACAGTCAGTACTAACCTGATGATTAATCTAATTCAGTAGGTCACATTCGTGAAGAGGGCTGGATTGTTATTACGATAATTGGAACATATCTGTAGTCGTCTGTGAAACAGATATTCCATAATGTTCAACCAACTCGAGATGGCGTTCGGTAAAATTTTCGAAGGGATTATTTCAACTTGACCACTTGGAACTCTTGGTTTAATAGCTTCCTTGTCAGCTGCAATCCTCTATCAAGGAAATCATGATAAGAAATGCAAGCTCTGAATTATCGTACCAACTGGGAAATATATACTTCATCTGCAGGCGCTGCTGGAACGTTGCTACATATATAGAAATGGAAAGTTCTCAATTGGGAAGCTGAAATCATCTCTTTTGTCGTGATCTTTCAACCGATCCTTATTGTCAATTTCTAGATGAACGTCAAGATATGATGCAGACTTAACTGTACCTGTTGTATCCTTTATATTGTCAAAGCTGACATAGTTTAGTTTAAGAAGAGCCTTTTTAAAGCAGATGTTTGTTAAGTGCTTAATAACTAGTTCTTAATTTGAATATACGTCTTTCTTTTTTTCTATACAATTTTGGTATTTTCATGTCGAAAATTATTTTTGGAAACATTTCATAAATATCTCTATCTTTGTTTTTCTGCATTATGTCTGTCCCTCTCAGTTTTTCTCTGTCTTTAGCGGTTCTTTTAGATAAAAGAAAAAAAACCATGCATTTTACCCCTATGTTCTATTTTAAGAGATGTCGGTCTTGTTGGTAGGCGATGTCATCGGACATATTTTTTTAACTAGATACCCATGAATGAATGTAATATACCGCTTAGCAATGAGCAATTATCCGCAACTGTTCTTTAATCTAATTGACTAGTTCGGAAAACAAGTAATGTTACAATGCCATCACTTTTTAGCGTCCAGATTTCTAGCTGTATAAGGATAAAAAGTTCAAAATTCAAATATAAAAAAAACAGTGATTACAAAAGATACTACATATATGCTATGCACTATGTATATAAATCCTTATTCCGTGTGTATTTAAATAACCATTTTGAATACTCACCACACAAAACAGGTAGTATAATTCTTAAAATTTAAACTTTTATCTAATACGATATCTGATCATCGGAAAACTATTGCCTGGTTTTGATATTTTTAGTGGATACGTGTCGTATCAAAACTGAAAGAAAATAATCGTAAAAGCCACAAAAAGGTAGGAAAAGTAAAAAGGCATATTTTCAAAGACAAATTATATGTGTTTACCAAACGTCGCGAGATCAACAGGTTTCAATTAAGTTTTATGTGACCTTCTGTCGTTATTTAGAACGAACTTGATTGATTGATAGTTCCAAGTGCATTTTTCTGTAGACTGTTTTCATAGAATGAACTTAATTAATTGATAGTTCTAAGTACAGATAAGTGAATGTTTTGTAGCTTTGATGATATACCTCGTACGTCAGCCGGCCTGGTTAAAATCTTGGAAGGAAGAACCAAGTTAAGAAGTTAGTTTTTCATATTCAATGACGTAACTAAAATAGGATTTCAGTTTCAATTTGAATCTGGTGCCACGTGTTAAGAGAGTGTCACGCTCTCTGCACGTTTAAAAGTCTTGCAAGAAATCTTCTTGGACCTGCTGTAAGGTAAAATTTCTGCTCCAATCCAAAGTACACTCAATTTTCCAGTTACAGTCGAAATTTCAGTCCTTTATCCCGGTCATCCAACTTAGCAGAAAATATTTATTGGATTTGTTATTATATTTCTCTTTTCCCGAAATAGGCGTGAACTAAACGCATAACAATCAATACAATAGACAAAATGAAACACACCCAGTAAAATCCTGTACTGTCACTTTCAAATATGTTAATGGCGTCCTTTCACTGAACTATTACTCAGAAGTATTTTTTCAGAAATTATTCACATCTCATATGTCCCAGTGAACTGATTCCATTCTTTCTTGAATTGGTCGCTGCTAGACGACTCAACACTTAAGATTTGGAAAATGTAATAATTTTCATTTATTCGAATTTCCTTTTGTCAATTTTCCGTTTTTAGTAGTCGGTCACACATTTCTACCACGTCCTATAGCTTTTATATCTCTCAGCTAATATGATATTTTCATTATATCAGTTTCTCTTACACATTTATACTCTCAATTAAAAAACTGATCTAGCAAGGTGATGAGGAAAACGTTCATCGGCAATAGCTATATTACAATTGCACTAATTTATATCCGTACTTATGTATCTATTATTAATCTAACATTGATATTCGTGGTTTTGTCACGACCATTGCCTTAACATGCTATCTCATATGACTTTTGGAATACTATGACGGCTGATCTATGCACAGCAGAAAATGTCTATCTTGTCAGTGTACTTGGTCCTACTTGATTTGAATTTTATCAAATTCCGACTATTTTCACTCCTATTTCTGTCTGTTTATACACAGGCTTACAATGTTTTCATTGACATCAGTATATAACTTCTTAAGCAACCGTTATTAAAGGAGCTTTGAGATAAAAATGTTGCATCCACTTTTTTTTTGTAAATATACTTAACCAAGACGGGCAAAAACCAAATGAATAAACAAACACGTCACTACTTGACTAAGAAAAGGCAACGTCATTATTGATAAAAAATATCAATCTTTAATCTTTATGCAAAGAAGTATAACTCAATGTTTTATTGTTATCAATCAGCGTCCCTATATCTTTTTTTTACCTATTAGTTTAAATAGAGTGAAATGCATTATATTCATCACGATTTAGCGATGAAGAACTTTAATGTTAAAACCAAGTTAAAGATAAAATTTTGAAATCAAAATACACGTACTTCCTATGGAAAGAAGTGAATGATTTTTTTTCTTTCTTTTTTACCATATACACGTGCTAAATTGAAGATAATTTTTATTGGTATGAGTGAGATAGCGTAAATATTTGTACATGATCTATGTTTTGTTCATGTATTGTTGTATATGTGTTTCCATATATTTTCAAATCATAATGAAAATATGTATTGTTGTTTTATTATACAAATGAAATGTGTGTGACGAAATCAGGTAAATATATAACAGTGCAATATAAAGCGAAAATGAATCACATAAGTGCAATAAAAAATGTATATATATGTTAGACTCAAATCGACGTCCGGTCTCTAATCGACGTCCAATTTAAAGCTGCGTTCTCAAATAAGTGTCCAATATTTATACCCTCTAATTGACGTCCAATGTGACGTCATGTATTTCCAAAACGACGTCCGATCGATTGGAGTCTCCTCTCATCGATGTCATATATATCATTTAGTTATTTGTTCTGAGTTTGATCTTTTTTATTTGATCTTTTTCGTTTAGTCTTTATGTAAAGCTGCTTAAAGAAACTAATTGTTTTCATATATCTTTATACACTTTACAAATCATAATGACTTCGTTGACGTAAATAAGAAGGAACATCAAAGTAGCCAACATCCCGTCCATAATAATCAACTAAATAAACATAAAAGGACAAGCATTAGTTAATGACAATAAGACAATCACCGACATCATATAACATGTACATGCATATTAATATATTGGTCTAAAAGTTAATCCACTCGATCTACGTTGTCTTATTCCTTTCATATGCATATAAATAGTTGACATGTGGATATAAGATAATGAGACAGCAACCACAATATAAAGATCACAGAAAAGACATCTAAGGGCAATATACAGTCTCAAACAATAGACAGAATAAAGAATTATAGTCAATTGTTGAAAAGTATTATTAATTGGACTCTGCAAGATCTTTTTAACAACTTTTTGAGTTTGAGGTTCAACCAACCATTTGTAATCGGAAAATGCCTTTATCTAATCAGGAATATGACAATGTAAAAAGAAGGACGTCGATTAGAGAAGCCAAATATTGGACGTCGATTTGAGAACGACAAAAAGACGTCAATTACAGGATCATATAATTGGCCGTTGATTTGGAATCTCATAATGACGTCAGATTTGGACGTTGTTTTGAGGAACGGACGTCGATTAGAGACTAGACGTCGATCTGAGTCTAACATATATATATATATATAAATACATAAAATTGAAAAATTAAACTGCTTCTGTCCTCACTTCTAAAATAAATAACGATTGCATAAAATATAGCTGACTACTTTCACATGTTCTGTTGATACAGGATTCAATAATTTTATATTTATTTGTCTCTAGCACTTATATAAATTCATCTTCCAACTTTTAAATAGTTATTATCTTAATTTCTAATTTATATTACACTCCAAGAGGAAACGTTCCTCGTTTTCAAGAACATGACATAGTTTGCAAAGCCTATCTTCTCTTGGAAGTTTAAAATATTTCTAGGTTGTGATCACTTTGTATATAAATAACTTACTTTTTATTATGAAAATTTAATTATTTTGAATCAAATTTTATATATTTGTTTTCTCTTGTGATCAGAACCTTGAATGGTTAAACTTCTTATACAGTTGTACAGTTTACTATTCTATGAAATATATCGTTATCAGACAAAAAAAGAAACTTCTTGACATATGTATACCAGAATATCTTTTTTATGTTTAATACTTTTTTTTCTACGCGAAACTGGCACCAGCATTATAGCAGTTATAGTTTTATTTTATTTCAGACTTAGATGTACCCGAAAGATGTCAACGTCTTCAACTTGCATTGAACACACTTCAGAAGAAATTAGATTCTATTGCGAAGAATGTAATGTTTTTGTATGCGATGACTGTGTTTCAGGACAAGGAAAACATATTAAATGTAATAAAATTAAACTTAATGAATATGGTGCCAAGAACAAACAAATTTTGATTGAAAATGTTGAAAAAATAACTAATAAAAATCTCCCACGTTTGAACGAGACATTGGAACTTACCACCAAAGTTAAAGGATCTTTTAACAAATCAGTTGATGAAAACATTACTGAAATTCGATCAAAGACACAAGTAATAAAGGCAATTTTTGATGAATTACAAGAAGAAACAATACGACAAATTGATGAATTGAGGCGACAAGCGAACATGAAATTTGATGAATTTCTTAATCATCATCATAATCGATATAGCAAATTAGTACAAATAACAGAGAAAGTCCAGCAACAAAAATCCGACATTCAGCCATCAGATGTTGTAAAATTTGATTCCGAAATGAAAAAAATGTTGCATACCGAACACGACTCGGAAATCATCCCGAAACTCGAACCACCCTGTTTTGAAATAGATGAGCAGTATTTAACAAAAGAATTTTATCAGGATATTTTTTATTCCAAGAATAAAAAGGATGAAGAGAAAAACAGAATCTTGTACACATAAGAAGGATAAAGAAGAACCAAACTCCTTCGCAGATATTATAGAACCTGTCTCGTCTGCAAAAGAAACCAATTCAGGCCTAAACATGAATGAACAAGTAACAGATACAAACTATGATGAAAATTCAAGTGACATATATGTGTCAAACTCTGCAAACAAAGCCGATAGGAAATTAAGGGCCTTAGCAGTTCATAACAAAGACTTAAACTACAAGATGATTAAATCGTTCAAATGTGAAAATACTGTTACTTTAATTGTACCGAAGACAAATGTTTATGAGGCTTGGGTTATCGGAGTTGATATCAGCGAGGTTAATTTAAAGCAATCAGTACCTCAATTTACAACTCTCCTTCCACGTATAGATGGAGAACCATTTACAGCTGGAAAAAGTCAAAAGCATGGTTTGGTAATAGGTCTTAAAAACAGGAGGACCATCAAACTACTTCAAGCGGTGACTGGAACTCTAAGAAGAACTTCGAACGTGTGCAAATTGGTTCCCCATATAAATGCACATGCTCAGCATTTGTCAGCAATTTGTACCGTATCAATGCAAGAGAAAGACAAAGATATCGCGGTATTACTACGTGACTACCAGTTGACAGGAAGTAAAGAAAAGGGAGCAGTCATTCGATGGTATTCTGGCAAGAAATTAAAAACGAATGACCTTAAAATTTGCAACAATGTTGAAATTGAAAATCCAGTGTACATGGACGAGTGTATGAACGGTAACATTTGCATTACACGTGCGCCGGACGAAAAATCATCGTGGATACAACTTATTGACAAACATGGGAATCACAAGATAAGGTATCCACCAAAAGATGAAAAATCTTTAGACAAGAACGTTGTATATTCATTTATTGGCGCTGGATTTCTGAGAGATGGTCGTATAACAATTTTGGATCGAGTGAGCTTTCGTCAGCATCTTTTAGATGACAATGGAAAGCTTATCACAATAGACCATTACCAAAACCAACCATCATCTTTTGCAGTTGACATTTACGACAACATCTGGATTGGATTTGATGATGGAACAGTTCAAGTGATGGAATATAAGGACGGGTGGTATGAAGACATTGAAATTAATGATTAATATTTTCAAAGAGGTTATATATCTTTTTAATTACTTATATAGTTCTGAGAACTAACCGTGTTAATTTTGATAACGAATTTATATAATTCTTTACTGTACAAAACATTTAGACAAAATATAGTTATTTCGAAAAATGTTATTGATTTATAAAAACACAGCTGGTTCCTCATTAACCTATACCTCACAATTCTAGAATTTATTCATTGAAATGCAAGTTTGTTCCGACAGGGATATCGATATCGTGTTTTATTGAAAAATCATTAAAATCATAACATGTAAAAGGCCCTCAAATCTATTCTTTACTATGTCATATTCATTTGGCGATAATCAATACCTTGTTTTCAACGGTTTGGTCAATACATGTTTATAATTCATAACGCATATATGCTAGTCTAGATACGCATAAAGGTCTGCACACGTGAAACTAATTTGACTATACCATTTTGTGCTATCTGTACCTTGTTCGTTGTTTTCTGTATGTATTTGTTAAAACGATTATGCTAAGGGTTTTTTGGAGGAGTCGGGAGAAGGTCTGTTGTGTTGTCCAATTATGGATTATTCCTGTTAACATTTATGTATCACAAAGGCTTCGTTCAGATTTCAACGCTATTGGTCCAATTTAAACGCTCATATGAGAATATGTCAGCTTAAATCAATGATTTAGTCGCAAAATGTAATCTGTAACGTAACAAATCAATATTGTTTTATTCAATATGACAAGGGCAGTATCAAATATTATTTAAGATATGCTTATAGGTACCAGAATGGAAAGTTGGTGCTTTCGAAACTGTTAAGTAAGTTTTTTTCATTTTCGGATGATTATGACTAAATTGTGAAACTCCAAAGTTGTTGTTTTATTTAGCACAGTTTTAAATAATTATTCTCCCCCGGGCTTTCATCAATTTGTCTCCAACGTTAATGTAAATTTCTTTCCTAATTCCGAATTATATAAAACATTGAATATATGTGGCTAAATGATGAAGTCTTAGGAAAAAGGGGTAAGGCCATTTTCCTCTAAATTTATTTTACTCGCATTGGCAAACACTTTAGGTCATTAAAATACAAAAAAGCCTTATAGGATTTGAATATTAACTGAGAGTCAAAACGATATGCATTCGAGATTTTAAAATAATTTTACACGTATTCATAAAGTCAAAACGTTGTTCCGCGCTATATGTTTTTAATATGGCGATATTTTCTCAAAATTTGTTAAGATTTACCGAAATTGATTTTTAGCCATCTTTATCTAACATTTGGTTACCTGTAAATGTTTTGAAATACTCCTTAATGTTGTTCAAACCTTTAGAAATATAAACACTTTTCTGATTTAGCTGAATTTTGTCTCCCTCCGAATGACCTTAGATCTGCTCCGAATAACCTTCTGACGTCAAGGAACAATCACTTTTTAATTGTGTGGTCAAACTTTTTAAATTGTGATGTCAAATTTTACGGGAACTTGTGTGATGTTACGTAATTGCGGACAAATTTGCATACAAGAGTAAATACGTCTATTAACGAAGTTGTCATGATTTGCATTTTAGTAAAGATGAGAGTATTGGCGTAAAATGAATTCAGAGCAAATTGATCCCATGTGTCCTACCTGTTTATAAGTATATTAACAAATTATATTAATTTGAAATTGTTAGTTTAACTTCTCGCTTTTATTTCACTACATGTTTCTTCTGTAGGTTACAGGCAGTTTGTTATATAAATAAAAGGAGATGTGGGGTACATCCCAATTAGGCAGCAACCTTACACCTCAATGAAACCACAAAGGACAACAAATGATCAACGCCTGGTCTTCCACAACAAACCTTATGTTTTGAGAATTAATCAAAGAATTTCAAAAGCTCCATCATTATCCAAATATTCTAAAAAAAAAACGTCAACATGAATATGTAACTAAAGACAACTGACGGTGTTCTGGACTTGACAGGTACATCTGTATGTAGCAGGCTTGAACTAGTTAAGGTGCCCAACCCTCAATATAAGAAAAAGATGTTATTTTCAATTTCATTAAAGGACATCCGTATTTGTACGGAAGAAGGCTATTCTTTCCTTGCCTGGAAGTCCGATACGGTTCGTACATGTATAATTTTACATGAATTTAATTTCAGCATTACGGCGATATAAAGTCTCTACCACAAATTCTATAAGTCATTTATTAGCAAACTTCTTTTGTTTTCATTTTTAGATTAAATAAAATATTTTGTTTGGAAAGTTTTTCTGTACCTGTATTAATCTTATAACAAACGGTAGTATCGCATCCTATTGTTTACGGTAATGTTGTTTAGAGCGCGTAAATTAAAATACAATCAAATAATTGTTCCTTTGAATAAAATCATTCTATAATTTTATCCTTCTGGTTTGTAGAAGAGAAATTGGCGCATCGTTTTGGAACAAATACAGAATGATTTCATGTTCGAAAATCAAACCTGAAGCTATGGAAAAAATAATCAAATTGACAAAATGAGAATGGAGGAATAGGGCTCTTTCTATGTTGATTAAGTTGATACGGTGACCTATAATTATTCAGTTATTTGTCCTTTGGTCTATGAATAGTTGTATGATTGGCAATCATTTCACATCTCCTTATTTTTTTTTTGATATACTGAATCATAATGATCTTAGTTTAATTTAGTTTAAACATATTCTATTATCAAGAACAATAACAAAAAGAATCAGACAATAGCTTCCCAGTCTTCTCCATTATATACAAATGATAAATAACCAAACACAATCAAATACATGTGAATAACATCATACACAATATCAATATGGAGACATAAAATGAACAAGCATTGAAATGACGTGGGACATCACTTTCCTAAAGTCTCGTTTAACCTAAATTTATTTGTATAAAGACCAATTAGGAGATTAAATCTGGGAGTTGATATACTCTCCGAGGGTAATATTTTTATTGAAATCAATCCAATCTTTGTTGTCAAATATAGAAAAACGTTCTTTAAATTATGCGGATATCCAGGTTTTTGAATAAGTTGAATAATCTCATTCGAAGTCGGTAAAAAGTAAATCAAGTATAAACGTTGATATTTAGCAATTGCGTTAGATTTAATACTTGCACGACAAAAAACTATGTTGAGTGCACTGCACTTAGTTGAAAACGTTTAAATATCTATCACCGATTGTATAATATGAACGGGGAGTTTTGTTTTTATGATATTTCTGTTTAATATGAAATTTAAACGTATTCAAAAAAAGTTTACTTCTAATGCTCATATCGAGAGAATTGCACAATTTAATGCTTTAAGGAATATTCTTGATAAAGGAACAATCTACTAGGCGTTTCACTTTGTTATATATTTTGAATATTTCGTAGATTATAATTGTTTATTTCAGAATATTCTGGAACATCTTCGTTCATAAATTTGTTATAAAAAGTAAAGGTATTTACTTTCCGTCCGATCTATAACTGTTTACCATCACGTTTCTAAATTGGGTGATTAAAGTTGTGCTAGTGCAGATTGTTAGACCGATGACAATACATGCTTCTTGAAGTTGTATCTTAACTTATCTTTCAGAATTCCATTGTCCCAAACTTATTCAAGAACGGGCTTACTAAATGTTAGGTATATTTTTTTCTCAAATATTGTTCTAGTTATCAAATTATTGTGATTGATTATATATAAAAAATAATGCACGCAAAGTCTTAAATATCAAAGACAATATGGGCGTTGATAATCAGTAGTTTTGTGGTACCATGCTCGCCCAGAATTCTGCTGGAAGTTGTGTTGTTTATATACTATTATCAAAGCTCAATACACTATTTCAAGAGGCCAAACCAACTTTCTTAATTGATACAAATTCTGCTAAGTACAGATTGGTTGCAATTATTATGGACATTGTTAACACAAGGCCATTCAAACCTGTGACAATTACTTCCAAATATGATGAAAAACGTAGTTTTTTCAAGTTGAATTTGCTGATAAGGGTTCGGATATCATTAATAATAACAATATTTTCCATTTCAATTCTGTGCAGAAAACAATACCCAATTCACAAACAATACCTGATTATTTTATATACGTTTGGCCATTTCATATACCCTCACCAAACCTATTGCATCCAATATTTTCAAGCACAAGTAGGTTCTTAAAATCTTTACTCTCAGGGATGTAGAATCCAAGCTTCCCGATTGCTCTTATACATTGTCCTCATACAAATATAGTCCGGCTAGTCAAGTTATAACTAGAGACCTTGGCATCATAAACAATGAAATTTTAGCCAAAGGACCGACATATTGAATTCTACAGCCCATCACCTGGAAAACGTACTAAATGTTACTGATGTATACAGTTGAGTACTTTGCCAGGAAATGGGTAAAGCATGAACCAGATGAACAAAAACTGGACACTTTATCTGAATGGATCAAAGCTGTTCGGTCATGCATTCAGAAGAGCATTCACAATCTCCAATGAGCACACAGGTTTCTGATCCTTTCAATAAGCCCAATGTTGTAGATACTTTATAATCTCTTCGTGTAATGGAATATAAGGACGGATGGTATAATATTTTCAAAGAAGTTATATATCTTTTAAATTACTTACATCGTTCTGAGAACTAACAGTGGTAGTTTTGATAATGCATAGAACTAACAGAGGTAGTTTTGATAATGCATAGAACTAACAGTGGTAATTTTGATGATGCATAGAACTAATGGTGATAGTTTTGATAATGCATAGAACTAACAGTGGTTGTTTTGATAATGCATTTATATAATTCTTTATTGTTGAGAAAATTTAGACAAAATATAGTTATTTAGAAAAATAAAAGTAATTTAGAAAAACACAGCTGCTGCCTCATCGAACTATACCTCACAATTTTATAATTTATTTATTATAATGGAAGTTTGTTTGACAGGGATATTGATATCGTGTGTTTTTTTTTAGAAATCATCAAAATTGTAACCTGCAAAAGGACCTCAAATATTTTCTATAAAATGTCATATTGTTTTGCGATATTCAAAATTTTGTTTTTAAAGTTGTTTGTCATACATGAATACACGAACGTGTTTATAAAGCATAAAGCTAATCAGATACTCACGAAGGTCTGCACATGTGAAACTAATTTGACTACATCATTTCGTGATATTTGTACCATGTTCGTTGTTGTCTTTATTTGATTAAACGATTATTTTGAGGTATTGTTTGGAGGCGTCGGGTGATGATCTGTTGTGCTGTGCAAATATTTTGGCTATTCCTGTTATATTTTTTGTATGTATTATAAAGTAAGGCTCGTTTAATTTTTGAAAAATATGTTGTTGTTACAGTAGACAAAGCGTCTAACAATATTGTTTTGTATGCAATAATCATTATTTGGAATGTATCACTAAAAATCTTGGAATTGACAACAACAATGTGAATCCCACATATATCCTTACATCATTCACGAAGAAGGAGATTTTAGAAACTCACAAATTCTTCCTTCTCTCTTTTTGTATTATTATAGCACAAAACAGGACTATGAAAATCTCCCATCTATCCTGGATACCTAAACCTCACAAAAATCCGATATATAGCCGGTTCGTCAAGATATTCGACTAAACGTCTTTCGAAAGTTTTTGCCACCATCCTTTCTACGGTAAAAGATAGCCTTCAAAAATATTGTGATGAGGTATACTCAACCAGCGGTGTTAATCAGATGTGGATTTAAAAAAATCTTCAATCCCAATCTTTAAAATTTTGTAGTAATATCAAAACTTTTGATATTTATTACGCTTTACCCTACTATTGCACATGCCCATTTGAAAGACTGATTAAACTGTCTCATTTAAATGAGTCTTTTCTTCAAAAATGGGAATCGTAGTCGGATACAAATTCCTTATTTTGTGTCATGAAAATATTACTTTGTGAAGAACCAAAGTGACTCCAATAACAAATACTAGTACATTTTGTACACCGAAGATGTTATCATCAAATTGCTGGACTTTTTGATCGACAACATATTTGTCCAGTTTGGTGGATTGATATTTCAGCTGACAGTCGGTATTTCAATGTATACTAATTGTGCACCACGACTTGCCGATTTCTTATTTTATTCATGAAAAGCAAAGTTCATCCATGCAGAATCTTCTCAAAGACGAAAAGAAACAGCATCTTGCAAAGCTCTTTAATTCCACTTACAGATATATTCATGATGTCAACCCACATTTCAATAAGTGCTTACATCTCATATATCACAGTGAACTTTGTATTAAAGATATTACTTAAAGTCTGCTTCATATATTGATCTTTTCCTCGATATTGACACTAGAAAGAATGACAAACGTGATGATTTTAATTTTCAAATAGTCAACTTTCCATTTCTCAGTAGTTACATACCCTCCGCTCCGTATAGTATGGCGTTAACATATCCCAGTTAATACGTTACGCTCGTGCATTTTCACACCATGCGAACTTCATTAAAAGGTTGTATTCCTTATATAAACAGTGCTCCAACAGAAGAATAACGACTGCAATCGACACATCAAAACTTTTACGGTCACCATCAAGATTACTTTGATTTGTGTTTTATTGATCGATTTACGAAACTTGAATATCGATAAACTATTGTCGCCTTTAGATATCCCTCCTCTGGTCAAAACAAAGACTTGAAAGTTGGTATTTGCTGCTTCTCCGATATGCAAACGGCATCTAGGCGTAAGAGCAAAAAATTGTCTGCTTGAAGTCAGAATAATATGTCTGCAAGGTGACATGTCTTCCTGCGGACTGTTACCTTGTGAATTAGCACGATAAAAATACTGCTGAGCGTTTCGTTATAGTAGAAATAGGGATTCAAATCTCGTCCTGGCATATATGTAATATATTCCTTATATAAACAGTGCTCCAACAGAAGAATAACGACTGCAATCGACACATCAAAACTTTTACGGTCACCATCAAGATTACTTTGATTTGTGTTTTATTGATCGATTTACGAAACTTGAATATCGATAAACTATTGTCGCCTTTAGATATCCCTCCTCTGGTCAAAACAAAGACTTGAAAGTTGGTATTTGCTGCTTCTCCGATATGCAAACGGCATCTAGGCGTAAGAGAAAAAAATTGTCTGCTTGAAGTCAGAATAATATGTCTGCAAGGTGACATGTCTTCCTGCGGACTGTTACCTTGTGAATTAGCACGATAAAAATACTGCTGAGCGTTTCGTTATAGTAGAAATAGGGATTCAAATCTCGTCCTGGCATATATGTAATATTTGCTACTGGACCTCATCCTCCTCCTCATCATCATCATCAAGTTTAGATATAATAAAGTTGCAATACAAAAATTCAACCAAGGTTTTGGATTTCATCGTACAGATTTGTTTTTTTTCATGATTTCTCATGTTTCACACATTTTTATTTTTTCATTTTTGTTAACGCATCTTATTGTAATTACAATCGTATGGATTATGGCAAAGAAAAATAAAAACAAACATGTATACAACAACAAAAAACATAGCACAAGAAACAAAAAATATGATTTTTAAACAGAATAATTCCAGAATCCGGCATGATACACTCCAATCCGTCATTATATATTCTGTCTCAATATCCTGTGTTCCTATTAGGGACCATCAGTTCTTCAGTTTAGTGATATAAGTTTTATCTCTCCAGTATGTTACATGCATTTCGTTTATTGTTCACAAAAATTTAAATGACGAATTTGAGCTATGGATTTTTATATATTTTGTTAACAATTCTTCACATCAGCTAAATACTATTTATTGTGCTTTCCAAAGAAGTAGCTCCATTAATAAAATCGACTTTCAATAAACTAAGCTTTAAGTATACTTTTTAATCTTTTCCAATCTTCCACAAGTTTATTGGGCGATTGAAAATTATGAATAGAATACATTTTGTGAATCCTTCCTAAGGTGTAATATGGGTGAAATCGACCATCATTAGTCAAGGAAATATTCAGCTTCTTAGCAACTATTCCAAGGTAAACATCATCGATGTATAAAGGTTTAATGAATTTAAATCCTTCTCTCATTTTTTTGGCATAATCATATGTCATCAAAATAGAGCCCCCAGTAGCATACGGAGGCCAGTGCTTATCCGGATACTCCTTCTTAGAAACATACCACTTTGAGTGCACGTTACGGTTCGGTTTAGCATTATACCAAACACACCCTGTAAAAATGCTACTCGGTAAACGTTTCCGGAAATTATTTAAGAGAAATCGAACATTCACTAAATAGTCATCATCGACAAAAAAGAAATATGTAGTGTTTTTACAGTTGTTGACACTCCAATTATATCCCATAATAGTTTTAAGTGTATTATTATTGTAATTATCAAGAAAATCTTCCTGTATAATGTCATCATACCTTGATTTCTCCATGCTGATGAACTGTTCAAGGAAAGGTGAAAATCCTAGAAGAAAGACAACTTTAACCGATGGATCGGATATGTTTCCCCATGTGGATCGAATTGCTATTCTGTTATCCAGATTTCTGACGTTAGACTTGATAATAATCAAAAGAAAAGGGTCCGTAATAGATCCTTTATGACTGCATGTTTTTGATGGGGTGTTTATATACTTATAAGGATGACTGTACACATCTTTTTGGTTTATATTTTTGAAGTTTATTGAATTTGAATGTTTGTCTAATGAAAAATGTGTAGAATGGTCGTTCCGAACTGTCGATGAAGTTATGTTATATGATCCCGAATGGTAAGTATCATCGGAACGTTTTTCCATCGGAATGTCTGTCACCAATGATCCAATGATAAGAACTGTTACTAACACACACAGTAATACGATATTTTTCACAGAACAGCGCAGAAACATTTTAAGACGCTTAGTGGTGATCATCTTGTTAACAAAATAGTCCAATGAACATGTGAATCTGCAAAAGAAAGTAAATTTAGATGTTAACAGACATACATATTGTCTGTTTTTCTTCGGTTGTTGATATTCTATTGTCGCTTAGGTATCTTGTCTCGTTTTTTATTTTCTGTCTTAGATATATGGTAGGGTCATATACGTGCTTTTTCGAAAAAAAAAATGATATATCTTTCTTAGTATTGTACTTAAGCTATATGCATGCTTCTTTATAAAAATACTACTATATGCCTTTATCTTCTCTTTTTTAATATGACTTAGTAATTGGTTTTATTTCTAGCAAGGGGCGTGAAATCAAGTGTTCAAGTACCTGTGATATTATCCGACTTTTTATGTCATGCAAGTTTTCTATCTACCAATTATGATTTTCGAAGCAACCACGATAAAAAAAAAAAAGCAAAAAAACAGAAACCCACTTCTATAAGTATACTAAAAGGATAATTTCAAACTTTTTAAAATTAGAGAATATGCTGAAATTTTGTAAAAAATCGTGTATTTTATATTTGAAATTAAATTGCTAAAGACATTTGGTAGTACCATGTTTTTCTTCAACGTTTGTTATTTCACTTGAACAGCTCACTGTTTGTGGTTCTTTAATAAGTATTTACTTTGTCTATATATATATATGTATTATTTGATATCGTTCATTACTGATATGCATTGTGTATGATGAAGTGTATTATCACTACCACATATGACCTGTTTGGAAGTCTGCTATGCTAAGTACAGAAAAACACAGGTTTTAATTGGCGACGTTCAATACATTAAAAATACATTGCATGCATGTTTTCATAAGAATCCGTAATTTTGATTGGTGGTCAACAATCGTGAGGCATTTTAGAATAATATTTTATTTGCCAATAAATTGCAACATGCACAACTGCACGTGTTTTCATGACAACGTCACAACAATGCATAGGAATATATCTATAGGAATATATACAAAAAAACTCTTATCAATTAGTTTAACTCGTAATTTCATGGTTGTAGCATAACACTGTAATTATAAGAATTGAATCTTCTTTTTGTGATTTTATAGGGTCGAAAAAAATGAAATAAAATCACAAAAAGAAGCATTCAATTCTTAAATGAATAGAAGTGTGTAATTCAGTCTAGATGTACAAACTGTCATAACATCTTTTGTCGATCTACTAGTGTCCGTTTAACTATTACAATAAATCAAAACTGAAATGAAGCTTTTAAAATTGAAACTTTTCCGTAAATGTTCAGTAAGAAATATGGCACTCATCCAATGATAATTCGCCTATGCATTCTGGGTAATATTCTCAAAATCGAACACCAACACGCTGTGATTGGCTTACAACGTCCAAAACAATTGAAATTCAACCAATGACGTGACGTTGTTTTCATTTTGGGGTACGAACAAAGAGATTACCCATAGTCCATTAGATTCTGAAACGGTGAATTAATCGTTTAAAGTAACTTTTCGTGAAATTGGTCAGTCATATGGATGATTTTTTTTCCACATACCTTGAAGTTTAATACATTTGTTAATTTCGGATATATAAAATATGTTGCAAGTATTTTCTAAAATGGGGAAAACCTACATAAACATACATTTTCAGCGGGAAAAAGTAGCGTTTAAACAATTACTAAATAAACACAAACATACCTTCAGGACCTCATGAAATTTATCAAAACTTGACGCCGTTTTCATAATGTATACAACATCTTGGAGGAGCACTCCACCCTTTATAACACTTTCTTCCATCCAAACGTTCCTCAACATATATTACAAAGGTGTTTTAAGTGTATCCGCGTTAATTATGCCTGAACACAAGTCGCATGCATACACCTGTAGTTAAAAGAACATTCTTCTTCGTTGTTGTTGTTAGGTTGTTTCTAATGTAATGAAATGTTCATTATAAGAGGATTATACGAATCACAGGTTGTACTGCAGTAAAAAAGGGCGTGGCCATCATTGTAGTAGTCAAACGTATTAATGTATTTATTTTTTTCGTTATGTTCAATTTTTCCTAAAAGGTATGTAAAGCAATATTTCCCAGGACGATGTTTTTCATTACTTATAATATCATACATTGTCATATATCACATGTAAACATCCATCAATCAATCGTATATCGTCATTTAAAACAATCTATGTAAAACAATATTAATGTTAATGTAGAATTTGAAAATGTTAACATATTTCTTTCAATCTTATTATGTTTTTACCGTGGCTTTGCCACCGGTTCACTGACATTTTTGATTACTTGACATGATTTTTTCCATAAATAGAATAAATTACAAAAGTCATATTGTGTTAACATTAATCCTATCAATCACAACATGCTTTTTGATGGTTGTTGGAAAATGCACACCTAATTTAACTCCCTATGGTGATATAGGTGTTGTATGCAATGTATTGCGAAAATGTAAAGGTGAAGTTTCAATAATATGACATTTGTGTAAAATTAGACTTCACAAAAAAAAAAAAGAAAAAAAAAATAAAAGCGGGTAAATACTGAATTATACTAAAATGCTAAAAAAATGGGAAGTTCTGACTACACATCGAAATTTAAGAAATTTTTTGTTTTTTCAATATTGATATTAATTCATCAACATGTTATAAAAAGATTGAGATCATCCGTATGAATAAATTCATTATTGACAAACATGTTATAAAAAGATTTAGAACATCTGTATGAATAGATTTGATAAAAAATGTTATAAACATTAATTAATAAATTAAATGTTACGCGGAACTAGCAAATACTACGGACTTTAATACGATTTTAAAAAATGAATATGGTGAAGAAAAATATTTGTTAAAAATATACCTAGAAAAATACAGAAGTGCGTTTGAAAAATTTAGACGTGGTACTGCTCCTTTTAAGTGAGACTAGAAGGTATGACGGTCTTTAGTTGAAACCTAATTTAACAATATATACTTGTACTGTGAATAATTCTATTGAAAACGAAAACATGTGTTATTGAATTGTCCGTTATATAAAGATTTGCGTTGCTACTTGATTAACTAATCATGTTTATATGATTATAGTTTCATGTATTTTTCAGGACGAAATATTTATATATTTTCCAGATGAAATTGCGTATTTCTATACTGCTAAAATCTGTAATTACATATCAACGAAAAGAAAATGTACTTTACTATATCGACAATTTCAATCGTGTAGATAAAGTATATCGCGTTTCTATTCTCAATTCTACATGCATTTTAAAGATACTTTAGTGTGACTGTCTCTAAACTGTTTTAGAGTCTATGATATATAAACAATGTGTATGTTTTTATACAAGAAAAGAAGTATTATCTTATCTTAATTTGTGACCAAATTATGAATGCCCAAAGATGGCTTAGAACTGTAATTTTAACAGATTTAGAAAATTTGGTTTAATTAACAAAAATGAATACAAAAGACTTTTACACCAGTATTGTATCGGATATAAGGCTTTATTATACTTCATATTAAAATGTCAGATTTTGATTGGCTAATACGAGGGAGATAATTTACTCTATCCCATGGCTCATCGGGAGACAATTTTTCGAATGTCACCCTGTCGTGCAGACCAATTAAAAATCGATAATCTAAACGACAATCAATTAAATTTACATCAATATTTTTTAAGACAGTATATGTAATGTTGTTAATATGTACATGACGTCATAGTGAGTACTTTCAAATTAAATTTTGAAAGACAATAAGGATAGAACATTCAGTATAATAAATTAGATAACACATAGTTGAGAGGGCGATAGAGCAGATTGTTACCCCGAGAAAGCATTGTCAACCAACAGCTATGTGTTATTTATATAATGTGTTGTCTTTCAGATACTGATTACTGGTGTCGTTCGGTGCATTTTATTGAGAAACAAAGAGATAAGGCAATAGCGCTTCAAAACTGTCTTCGACAGCAATACGTGGCGCTGAATAAAATTTTACTTTCTGGATAATTTAAAATTGTTGAAAGATCTGTTTTATAATTACCACTGTTACATGTAGCCTCCAAGGGTATAGTCATTCCAGTAGCCAGACTGAGACTACTTCGGTACTAGAATGACAATACGGATTTGGATTTATTTGAATTTGCTTTTATAAAAGAGAGGCGAAAGATACCAAAGGAACATCAAAACTCATAAGTCGAAAATAAACTGACAACGCTATGGCTAAAAAAGAAAAAAATCAACAGACAAACAGACAAACAGACAAACAACAATACATAAAACATAACATAGAAAACTAAAGACTGAGCAACACGAACCCCACCAAAAACATGAGGTGATCTCAGGTGCCCGGGAAAGGTAAGCAAATCCTGCTCCCCATGTGATACCCGTCGTGTTACTCCTGTAAAATACGTCGACAAGTTATATCAAGTGAGTAGACATCACACATTAGCCGATCGATAGTTGACCCAAATCTAACACTAAGGGATCACAAAAGTTATATAAATTGTTGGAAATCATTTCAAATTAAAAATGTATCTCACTCATGCACAGCTCTGGTTCCTTGACTGGTTTTGGTTCTACTCTTTGGTCCTTTTTGGGTTTTATCAGCTCGATTGTATGATGTTTTGGACATCACTGAATAGACGTTAGTAGTCAAATGTGCTTCCGGTGCAGTATAATGGGTACCGTTATTGTAATTTTGAATATTTTAAAAGTTTTATTTTCGAATTCTGATTATTTTTTTTTTATTTTTCAATGCAAACTTTTCGTATGAAATCTAAGTCAAGGCATATATGAAAACCTTATTTATCATACGACGAAGACAGTTATAAAATTAGTGAAATATGTGATAAATCAAACTAACGAATAACGTTTAGATAATCTCTCTCTGAGAACACTTTTTGTTAAATGTTTACAGTTGAACATTACATGAACGTGTAAAATTTAAAACTAGTGAACTTTGGAATTCATACAATAAGCAATTAAATATTACACCGGAAAGTTTCTGGAATAATTAACGCCTATTGTTTTATTCGTATAAAATATATGACTTTTGTACATATAGTAGACACATTCTAAATTTATACAATTTTCAGTATAAATAGCATGATAAATCATATATATTTAATGATATCTGCTTCAGGGATTTTTCTTCTTTTGATACTAAAATCCGTCAGCATTAACTTTCCGACAAAAGTATGGGGTCTGGTGTAGCGATTTCAATGTACTGTAATTGAGTGATGCATATATGAAATGGTTAAAAAAAATTATTGTCTTTCTAGTTATTGATCAAATTTGTACGTATACAATCGATTTTGTTGGACATACCAAAATAAAATTATTATAGTTGGAAACTTTAACTACCACAGGAAACAGCAAGTATGGTTGATAGGGACAAAATTGCCATCAAATAACCTTCACTATTGAAAGAAAAACAAAACTTGTGTTGGTGTTCAAAACAAAACTGCTAATGCCCTTCTAAATCATCCAAATAAATTATAAAGTACATGTAAATTTGCTGTAATTAATCGTAAATGCTTTTCAAATATACTCTACAACAAGAAAAAGCATGAAGTTTTTATTTCAAAATTTTATCCTGCTTATTTCAATTTTTTTTACAGCCAAATTGCTCGTAGAGGCATATTTTAAATATTTGATATTCATTTACATATATTTATCGTCAAACTTTTTTCTAAAAATGAATCGAACCTAATTATGCGGTTTTTTTTTTTGGAGAGTATATGTTTGAGAAAAATTAGTGTCCGGTTTTAAATAAATGTAAATTTTCTTTGATTGATAGTTAATGTTTTTCAATTATGTTTTGAAATATTGTATATGTCATGACATGACGACACCTCATAAAATGATTTCGTTTAAGGTGGATTATCACTATATATTTCCTCATATAGAATTTTCTTATACTTTGCAAAAATGGAGATTTTGCCAAGCTTTTAAAAATATACAATCAAAAGTATAGGTCACCGTGCTATTTTCAAGCTACAAGTCGTCCAAAATTGCTCAATTTTGCAAAGATTATCATGAAAAAGCACTTTTTTTGTGAATAAAAATAAATCTATGAGATAGAATTTTGAAATAAAATATGAGAAGATAGGTTTTATAATATGCTTTAAGAAAATAAAAAGAAGAAATGGTGTTACCGAACTTGTTGTCTTGCAACAAGTAAAAAATAAAAATTTCACTATCATCCCAGTATAAATTTTTTACTTTAAGAGTTATCCCCCTTATATGACTAAGATGAAAAATTGAATCGCACAAAAACAAATATTTATTATTTGTTAAAACAGTCTAAACAATGCAATTAATCAATTATTTTTGTTTATTTAAACGAACAGTTTTGCTTAGTTCAAACAAGTCATGATTAAGCAGCGCAATTTTCGTCTACTTTTTTAGTTACGTCCCTTAGACCTATTCTAATGGATAAGTAAATAGCAGTTATAACATAAGGTAGCACTCCACAGTTAGAAAATAAAATTAAAAATGAACCACAAAATGTTTTATCATCTCCTATTCCTGGATTTCTAATACATTAACCTAACTGTTTGTGCTGTACATGTGCATGTGTATGTAATCAGTATCTTCCATAGATTTGATTTTCAAAAGTTAAAAGGGTGAAATATAATTTCTTTTATGTGTATCCATGGCAACATTCTGCATTTATTTACCATAAAATATTGCAAAAAGGGGGATGACACTGTCACATATCCCCCCCCCCCCCCCCACCAAATTTGGATCAAACTAGAATTTCAATGCCTATGAGTGATACCTTTTTAGAAACTGTTGACATTAATCTTCCTAATGATCAAATAAAAAATGGGTGTCTTTCGCCTCATTTTTTCGTAAAATTTAGTCACAAAGTTCGTGCGTCAAAAAGTTGGAAAAAAACATAACAATAATTGCCGGACCAATATATGGTATGGATATGCAAATACGGACTGTCATACAGAAAACAGCCTATATTACATACATTACATAATCTTGATGGTCATATAAACCCAATAGGGAGGCTATTTT